TACGAAATACAGTACAGTGCAACCTCCTCTAAAAATGTATCCATCCATCCATTGAAAATGAAGTTATTTGGGAACGTGTTTTCATCAAGATAAAATCCTTTTGTTTTATAAGCCTTGACACCTTTCATTTTTTATATCAAAGTGGAGCACTGCACTATCTAAAGTCTAATCACAGGGCTGTCTGGTGTTTTCCAACAGAATCATGATAATGATGTCAAGAATAATTTGTTTCAAAGCCAGCCCCAAGCCTCCCTCACCCCAGTGCTCGCACTATTATCGCTTGCCCTAAGCCAAACTCTTCATCAAAACTGACAGAAATCAGATACTGTCACACCTCTCCAGGGACCTGTACCAGTCAGTCTGGAAAATGCCAACTCAAAAGAACTTAACTCAAGTTAAGCAGATGTTTAAGGTAATCATATTTCTTGCCTGGATGTCAAATCCAAATTCATTAGCATTTGAACATGCAGATCTTATTTAGAAAGTGTGCATTGTTGGGGGATAAAAAACCTATACATTTCTAACAATGTTTCCAAACAGATTACTCTTAGGGCCATAGTTTTCTTCACTCAAGTACTGTAGGTAATGTTAATACTAGTGGGATGGAATGAGTACTGTTTATTACTCTTTGTTTCAACTGATCCTCTGATATAAAAAGTCAAGCAAGTGCAATATTAATGCACTTATCTCATTTTAACCCTAATCCATGCCCGCATTTTAACATTGAATGTTTATGAAGCACTCTACAAAAAGGGGTCTCAAAACAGTATATTTTACTCTGATAATGCCCTGACTTAACAAAATCAGACATTATCATTAATATAGGAACATTTCTCTTTAAGACTTCTACAGGCAAATCCACAGCACAGATGTAAACTACAAAAAATAGACATTTGTGGGTCTCAAAGCCACTTTGAAAATGATGTCTATTTAAATATTCTATTCAACGTCTTTAACAGACTTTCTGTTGTGAGAAGACTGCATGCCTACATAATATACACTGCTGTTTATACTGGATATAGCACATACAGACTTAGACACAATCAGGAATTACAATATGTGTTATGAGTATCAATCATTTACTCAAAGCCATTGGTGTCTTCTGTTATGACAACAACTTTGACTGTCCAGCTTAGTTTGGGGGAAAAGAAGCCAATCTTACCTGTTTATTCATTTTCTAACCACTTTATCCAACACATGGCCCTGGGAAAGCTGGAGCCTTATCCCAGCAAGCAACAGGGTCATAGAAAGATACACCCTGGACCTTGGGTGTATTAGCCCAGAAGCCAATTATCCTACCAATATGTCTCTGGACTATAGGATGAAACTGGAGCACCCAGAGGAAATCCACGTCAGCATGGAAAGAACATACAATCTCCAATGCAGATCGCACCATGGGCCCAAAATTGAACCCGGGATACCAGTGCTGTGAGGCAGCAATACTACCTACTGTGCCATGATGCTGCCTGCCAATCTTATTATTTAGCACTGTTAGTTCACACTGCTCAGAGTCTTTAAAACCCCATTCACAACAACTCAAGGTAACAAATGCTTGAGCTCCACATACAAAGTGCTGTAGTTGCTGGCTCTTCACATTTACAGTGGATATAAAAAGGCTACACATCCTTATTCAAACTGCATGTTTTTGTGATGTAAAGCCAGAAATCATGAAAAAGATAAATCATGTCAGACATTTGTCCATCTTTAATGTGACCTTGCAACCAACAAAATTCAAGAGAAAAACAAATAGATAATTATTAGGAAAAATAATTGAAATTTAAAAAACCTACAACACCCTGGTTGCATAAGTGTGAACACCCTTTTATAATGGGGGCTGTAGCTGTGTTCAGAGTTAACCAATCATATTCAAAATCCTGCCCAAAGGTAAGTAGCACTTACCATCAATGAAAGTGATTCTGATTAATCCCAGATAAAAATCAGCAGTTCCTGTAGGATTTCCTTGAAACGTTCGTGGTTGCATCCTACTGGGATAGCCATGGTCTGCAAGGAGCTGATAAAACATCTACCGGATCTTATTGAAAGGTACCAATCAGAAGAGGGATATAAAAGAATATCAAAGGAATTGGAGGCACCTTGGAGCACTGTGAAGACTACCATCAATAAGTGGAGAAAATGTGGCACCACAGGGACATTGCCAAGATCAGGATGACCCTCCAAAATTGATGTCAGGACAAGGAGAAAACTTATCAAGGACATTAAAGGAGCTGCAGGAATTTCTGGCAAATATCTATTTGTTTTTCTCTTCAAATTCTCTGTTGGTTGCAAGGTCACATTAAAGATGTAAAATGTCTGACATGATTTATCATGATTTCTGGCTTTACATCACAAAAACCTGCAATTTCAATAAGGGTGTGTATTCTTTTTATATCCACTGTACAAATCAAATATAAATGACTCATTGACAGGTGTTCCTCATTTGTCTTCTCTACACATCCAGAAAAGCTAAAAGGCTACAATTTGAACTACAACATATTTTAACAGACCCGAATGCCACCTCAACTACTACAAAAAAAGCAAAACTAAAGTTTATAAATTTATATGATCTTTGAAAGGCAAAAACATGCAACATCACCTCATAAGCGTTAATAACAAAACTATTTGAGAATATACCTAGAAGATTTTTAACAGTCCTGGAACAGAGGGATGGATGGTTGGGTTACTTTGGTTATGTGAATAAAATTTTCTTTTCCATAAAGGTGAAATGGCGTTTAACATAAAGTTTTAGTTTTATTTTGCACTATAGTACAGAAGTGTCTCAGGCACAACAGTGTACATTAAAATCATAAATATCTTATATAATTTCATCCAATATGAAAACTCAGATATAACGAAATCATTGTCTGAATAACTATCATCTGAGATAAATGAAACAGGTTACCTTCACATGTTTTCCATATAATCATGACCTCCTTCACTACAGCCAAAATAAAATACTAATACATCACAGTCATTTAAATTATTCCAAAAACACTGCAAATTATAATACTCTAGGTAATTTTAAAATCACAATGCAGTTGCACCATTAAAAGCCTCCGCAATAGTTCAAAATGTCTCCACTGGCTCCATCTTGTGGTAGACATTAGTAAAACTTTTTTGTTCAAACGCTTACATCTAAAAAAAAATGCATTTCAGTTAAAAACACTTAAATACAATGCTTGCAAAATATTTCCACGATAAATAGGATTAAAAAGGCAACAGAAGTGCTCATTATTTTTCATCCTTTTTTCTTTCTTTATTATGTCCTTATGAAGGTCATTTAACATAACATACATACCGAATTAATCATTTGCAAAATGATAATTTAAAGTAAAATTAAATGCCATTACAGATAAGGTAAAATGCAAAAGAACTTTTATTGTTATTTACTTTTTTCAAACAAACCAAGGTAGCACTGCATAAAAAGAGTAGTCAAGAGAAGGGAGAAGTCAATATCTTTTGTTTTTCTTCCAACAAATTACCATCACATTTTTCAAAGTAACTGTGGTTCAGTTTCTGCAGAGTCTGTAATTAGACAAATCTCTCCTCATCAAAAATAGCCTAATTACTACAGGATGGCACAGGCAGAGTGCAACTTCTATCCCCTAGCTAAATATCATCACTGATGAAAATAAGTGGGTTAAGTTAATTTTCCCAGCAATCTGAGACTGAATCAGGGAACAACCTTGAAATAATAAACATGGGAGCTTACACTGATTATAAGCATCAGTGCATTAAAGATACTTAGAACACAGACACATATGACAAATTTTACCTTTTCCGGGAAGCTCGTGTTCTTATTCAAATGTTAAAAAAAGGAAAAAGAGTCCAGAAACAATATAGAATTTTAACTAAAATAAAGAGGCCTCCTGACCTTAAACTTATTTTAATTGGGGATATTGAGTAGTGGCTGAAACCTACTGCTTCTGTGGATGCTATGGAAAAGTGTGGTTAGCTTCTACTGAAGCAGATCAGTTTCTGTAATTACCACCTTCATTTGCTGAAATGGCTTTCATTTACAACTACACGAGTAAAGGATTTATTGTGGCTGTAAAGAACGTTGTTCTAAGCCTTTCTGATTAATTGTATATAATAATTTATAAGATGTAACTAATTGCAAAATCTGCTTAGAGATAAACTTTTAGCATTTAAACAAATAAGGTACACAATAATTCAATAAAAGGAACATGCAGTACTCTACTGCTGAAGAAAGAATTTAGTTGGCAAAATCAAACAGGCCTACATAATTAATCTACTGTAACTGAGAAAGATTGGGTTTGTTAAAAATGTTGATACATCATGCAAATGTAAGCTAAAATAAAATACAGATATACTACTGTAATACTGTATTAAGGAACTAATGTAATTAATTTGAATAATTGACACACACTGGTTACACACTACTAATTGCTAAAACAGATTGCTCTATTCAAGTTTTAAGTGTACAATGTGATAACAAGATCACTTTTAGAATATTACGCCCAATTTTTATCACCACAATACAAAGAAGTTGCTGCTGCTGCTCTGTAAATCAGTCCAGAAAAGTGTGATTTTATACCTCACTGGGCTTACCGTGATGCCCTGTACTGACAAGTTAAAAAATGACACCTTTTGGTCTTGAATGGAAAAGGCTACAAGGGTCTTCATTCAAGTATCATGGAGCACAAGTATCATGGAGCACAAGGGTACAATGGTAGTGGTGCATTTAAAACTTTGAAGAGAAAGCAAAAGCATGTCTGTAGCAAGCTGTCCAGTTAATGTTGTACAAGGGAACCAGCCATGTGATAGAAATCATTGTATTACTTAGTTACTAGCAACCAGATGAGGGACACGGGCTTTATGGCCTCCTCTTATAACTTATAACGTTTCTTATAGTCTTATAAACTATTTAAGAATGGAAACAATACACAGATATTTTTTTCCCTCAGATTTAAGAATTACAGGTAGGCTTGGAATTATTAAACCTGTTATCTTTATGTCATCAACATCTGTGTCAGACACCATTTAGTAATTCAAGTCAAAATGAAAACTGCAGCAATTTTTGTAACAAAATAAAACTGAATATTTTTGGAAGGACAGCTCCTGAAAAGTAGTTGTGATCCAATAAAGTCATTGAATGAAAATCTCACCAGTTTAACAGAAATTCAAAGAAGCAGTAGTGATGCACACATATTGTATCTTGTCTATCGGTGTCGATGAGACTGAGATTATGGGCGATAATGAAGGCACAAACTAAACTTGGGGCTCTTAACTAATAAATAAAAAGTTAATCTAAACATAAACACTATGTAACATACTGTTTCAAGGAGAAATCAGTAATATTTATACAGTAAAGGTATTATTAGAGATACCAGGATGGGTTCCCTGTGGGAGATCTTTGCAAAACCTTCTAGATTTTGTCAAACAATTTACAAAAAGTAGAGACAGGGAGTGCTCATGACATTGTGTGTCTGGATTTTCAGTAAACCTCAGACAAGGGTCTCCACAAGTCACTACTTATTAAGTGTAAAGCAAAGAAGAAATGAATAGCTCATCATTAGATTCCCAGAAAATCCATGATATTAAAGGATTTCATAGAAAATGGAAATTTGACTGTCCGCAGGCAAAACAGTTCTTATTATAAAAAGGTTTATCTACACAAAGTTGTATAGATTAAATCAAATATATGAATAGCATGCTGCTGAAAGAGAGCAATTGGCATGGACTTTTTATTCCTGGAGGAGATCTAGATTCTGATTCTCAGCAAAGTGTTGAAGAACACTGCCTATATCTGCATACAGACAAACACTACAGAGACAAAGAATTACTTTTAAAATGGAAAGACTGGGCTACTGCATATGATGTTACAATTTAACAATACCTAAACGTCACATTATATGGCTTTAAAAATATGAATCTGAATTGTAAGGAATGTGATGTAGTGCATTAAAAAAAGATAAAACCAAACATTTTTCTTATTTTACTGAACTGTCATTCCAAATCAAGTCACAAAAACCTTGGCCTCCTTAGAATTTTCTTAAATAATGTAAGGGCTTTCCACTAGGAATACTGATTACAGTATAAATATTAGGGATGAGCAGCCTCCTGTTCATGAGCTGCATGTCATCCAAGTTTAACCCATTTTTTTAACCTTGAAATAACCTTATCATGTTCATACCCTCCTCCCTAATTTGCACAGAAACACAGAACGATTCCACAACTCATACAACTAAAACAAAGGTTTAATTGGAAATTGTATGTATATATTCATGTATACATGTATAATAAATTCTAGCTGCAGGAACCTGCCACCTTCCTGACAGTGTTTCTTAGGTGTAACATCTATCCATCTATTTTCAAATCATTTCATTTACTTTAGGGTGACAGAAGAGCTGTAGCCTATCCCAGAAAGCAACAGCCACAAGGCAGAGTGCACACAGGAGGGGACACCAGTCTGTTGCAGGGCATACGCACAGACGTGTACATGCACACCTAGGGCCAATTAACTTACCAGTATGTCTCTGGACTGTGGGTGGAAACCCACACAAACACAGGGAGAATATGCAAACTCCCCGCAGATAGGGCCCCAGGTTAGGTATTGAACCCAAGGCCCCAGCTCTACAAGGAAGCAATGCTAAGCACTGCGTCTGAGTGAAACATTACTAAGACATATGCAGATAAAGTTAATAAAATGTGAGCCAAATCAACTAAAACTCAGGTAAGTTTGATTCACCCCCAAAATAAATAATAATTGATCGTTCCGTAAGAGTGCAACTAGAGATGTTACATAACCACTTGCAGGAAAAATTCATCTGATGAGTGTGGGACCAATGGACAGCTCAGCTTGATGTGGAAAAAAAGACTCTGACCAAAAGACCAGATGACCATCCTAACTCAGATACTACCATCATGTGTAGCAAATTACCTAGCTTAGCTTATGTTGGGAGTTCCAGAAAAAAAGCACTTTACTCACGTGCAGCAAGATCCTAGCAAAGTAAGTTTGTAATTTGAATTCTGGAAAACCTTCTGAGAGCACAGATAACAAAAAACAAATCAGCAAATTAGCTTAACTGAAAATTTCAAAAATTTAAAGTGGAATCACTCAACAGTTACAAAAGTTACTTAATGTAAGAGCAGAAAAATGGGGCATAAATGGAAATTTATTTAAAGCTATTTTGCTCAAATACTAGAACACACTTGTACCACACACAGAGTTGTCAAAGCATGGAGAACAGCTTACCAGCACACATGTGGAGGGAAAGGCTCAGGCAACGTTCACGTCTGGGCTAGATACTGCGACAGATGCACTTTCTGTACAGAAAAATGACGAGCACTGATGAGCTGAGCAGCTTGTTCTCATCATTAGCTGTAAGTGCTGAGAAATGCCATCTCCTCTGTCTGCCAGTGAATTACAGTACAGAAAATCACAATGACAAGCACCTGCCTGAGGTAACAGGGACCTTGTACAAATTCCCAGAAAGACATCCGTACACCAATCCACTGTCAGAAAGCCACTATCCCAGAAGCACAGAATACAAACTGGGACTACAGTCTGGTTGTGATGCCCAGCCATCAAACTGCACAAAAAACATAATCACGTCGGGACAATACCCGTTTCAAATTTCAATACCAGTTAAGTTAAGCTACCTAGCACTTCTTGAAGATGTCACAGAAACCAGAGCACAAAGTGAAAACTCAAAAGAGAGGGGACATGCACAGTCCATGCAGAAGGTGTTCAAGCCCAGAATCAATCCCAGAACTGAAGACCTGTGAGGCAGCAGTGCTATACCACATGCCAGAACAACATACATTAGAAAAAAAAACTGGAGACAGCTCCAAATAATTTCTTTTAGTGGGTGCAACTTTATTACTCATCTACGTTTTTCAAATATTCATGCTATTGATAGTAGCTTGTATAAAATTAAGACTCCGCCTTACTAATATCTGTTAAGTTGGAGGTCCCACAGTCAATAAAGTGTGATTTCTAAATTAAATAATAAACCCAGTTCTTACGGTCAGTCCTTTACAAGTTAATTGGCTGATAGGGTCTGAGCCCATCTTAGCCAAAGCTTAATGAGAGTGCAAGATACTCCTGGATGGGATACACCCCATTGGTAATAATTATAACTCTTCTGACATCTTTCATCACATCTTTACATGTTAGTCTAGTTCTCTTTTTGGCACTTCAAGTTTGAAGCCATTGTGTATTTTCTTCAGTAATTTGAAAACTTGTATTTAAGTTTGTACATATTTGCATTCCTGTAGAGGGTGCTGAAGATCTATAAAGCATTTTATAAGAACATAAAGAAGGTGACAAACAAGAAATAATAATAATAATAATAATCATCATCATCATCATCATCTCAAAGTGCTTTACAGGATGACAACAACAATAAATAAAAAGAATACACAAGATAAAACACAATTACAATATACAGAGGAGACCATGGATGGTGGTACTAAGAAAAGCAGAGGGGTGAAGAATGGAACCAGTTAAGTAAAGGCTTTTCTAAAGAAGAAGGTTTTGAGTCTGGATTTGAAGGAATTTAGAGAAGGTGACTCTCTGATATCCTTGGGCAGAGAGTTCCAGAGCTTCTGTAATATGTAGTAATATGCCTAATGGCCTCCTTCAACGTTTAGTTACTAGGAGCTAAGTGGTCAATTACGTGCACATAGAATAACATTAAAATTGAATGATGGAGATAGAACTGCTCCAAGACAATGTATTGATTAGTTTGGACTGAACCTTGTTGTGTAATTAACATCCACTACATTTGTATGGGACTTTAAGCTCTTCAGTCCTCTGTCACCCTTGGAAATCATTATGTAATGATAATGATGATAATGTTGCTTTATTAGCACTAAACAATTTCTTGCATTAGGAATTCATCTTTTCGCAAAACCCAGCTTGCTCTCTATGAGACACAGACACACAGACAGAGAGACAAGCTTGGGGTCAGAGCACAGGTTCAGCCATTGTACAGTGCCCCTGGAGCAGTTGGGGTTAAGGGCCTTGCTCAGGGGCCCAACGGAGTAGGATTCCTCTGCCGGCTGCGGCATTTGAACCGGCAACCTTCCAGTCACAGGCACAGATCCTTAGCCACAGAGCAACCGCTCCGCCCCTCATCAATGCTGGGTAGAAGAAAAAAACTTGAAAAAAAATCCATGTTTCACTGAATGTTTGGAATAGTGCTCTCCTGCAACATTTCCCCCACCATAGAAGACCTACAGTACTGTAGAAATCCACAGGTTTTATCTAGTTTGTCATGTCTTGCAATTCATTTCTGTATTACACTGTGTTATGTGTGAGAAAGAAATGCCTTTCGGACACTACTCATTCGCACACGTGACATTGATCACAGGTTTCCACTGTCTGCTGATATCTTACATGCATATCATGAAGCCTAAAAAAAGGAAGCAAGTGATATGACAAATCACATTTGCCAACATTACGCACGTAACCTAAAGGACCATCCATCCATGCATTTGCTAATTTCTTCACCCAATTCAGAATAAAGCAGGGGAGGAAATATCCTATTCTGGCAAGTAACGGGTACAAGGCAGGGTATGTCCTGGTTGAGACCCTAGTAAATCACAGGGCACACACACACACAAGCATGCATATACTCGCACCAGGGTCAGCTTCCCCCAGTCCCAATTAACCTACCAGTACATATTTAGACTATGGGAGGACACCGGAGTGTAAACATTCCTTCCTGTGTCACTGTGGATTTTGTTGTAGTCCCCTGGGTTGACTTTTCTGATGATTCTAATTACCTGGGCGTAATCAGTGTACATTTACAGTCACCTGAAAAGTAGGTGAAGTGCACTGCAGGATGAAAGCAGTGCTCGACAGAACATTTTAAAGCAGTTCTCTGCACATATAAATGTAAGCAGGTAGCTCTGTCAGCATGTGTAGGCTGCAAAAGAACAAAGTGTAAGCAATTATTATTATTATTATTATTATTAAGTAAAGTTTTATTCCATGCTGAAAAGAGAAGGAAAGAAACACATTTCAGCTGTGGAGCCTTCTTCGGGTGAAGAAGATGAAAAAGGTGAAGAAGGGTTCTTCAGACACCTCCATAGCTGAAACGTTGTGAGAAACGTCTTCTCTTTTCAACATATACATTTTGCTGCCTGTGAGTGGATCTTGATTGGTTTTAATGCACTGTAGCACGGCTCAAAATGAACTGCACGGAGCTGACTTGTTCTCTGCCCATATGTTGGTGTATGATTCGAAAAGCAGCTGTACTTTCGAGTCTGTGGCTATTCACTATCACTATTCACTATCACTTGGTGCCCCCATACGAATTTGTGACATGATCCACTACTCGGAACAACTTTCGAAAGGACATGATTGTAACGTTTCGCCTCACTTGACGGACGATAGCTGTAGAAGAGCTTCATTTGAAACATTAAGGCAGTGGTATGCAGCGACAAGCTAATGCCTTTATCATCAAAAAAGAACTGGCAAAAAATCCCAAGAGTACCGCGGTAACCTCAAATCAGATAACTGCGGAAAAGGCATTATATTTCTGCTTGCTGGCCCATAACCTGATTGCAAAACTCGAAAACGTGCATACCGCTTTTTAAACGGGAACTTATGATATGATTTCCTGAACAGAAAGCAAACCAAAAAGGCTGCTCACATATCAATGGAACTTGAAATGGTAGCTGGAATTACATAAGCATATATTTATTTAAATACAAGCAGGAAAAGAAAATAACCCGCTAGCTTTTATATACCAGCAACACTGATGTTGACAGCACATGGGCAGATACAACAATACGATCAAATCATTTGAACAGACTTGAAAGTGAAGCGCTTCACGTATTTTACAGTTCTGCCCCTTACATCGTACCTAATTGTAATTAACGTACTCCTGGTTTCTAATGGAAAAACACTGGTTTACTCACTAAAGGCAACACGGCGCTGTAAAACTAAAAACAGTCGTAGTAAGATTCAGAAAGAGTAGCGCTCTGTAAATATTAGGCCAAACAGGGGATTGTGAGCGCCACATTGTTTAGAAACAATAAATGTAACGGTGTACTATAAGAAAAAAACAATATGACAACATAAATAGTATATCTGCTTGTAATTTAAGTGAGCATGTTACCTTCTTTTTTAAACGTCGTGGACGTCCGGAACCAGTGTAGTCTGCTCAACCTTACCCAGAACATGGGACCATGCTTGTACCGTATTTAATAGAATATAGAAAATACATTGATTTGAAAGTGGGATTACTTTTACATTTTGTTTTAATTATTATTCGATATCAGTTTTCTCGTGAAAGCGTTCCTCACCTCGCTTTAAATAGACATTTAATGTTTCAAATCGAAAACGTGGATACGGACTATATCGTTGTTTTGCAGAACTGTTTACATTTGCATGCAAACAAAATTGTTTGTTTTGGTTTCTGGTTATGAAAATATCGGAAAATATATACAATATAACTTGGCCAACGTACAGCACAAACGTTAAAAGCCACAAATCAGGTTCCCGGGTACAGAGCGAATAAAAAAGATGCGGAATAAAGACACTAAAGACTTGCGAAAGCTAGTTACAATAAAGAGAAGAGAAATTGTGGACATCACCACAATTTATTGTAAGGATGTGGGTATCAGTAAGGGCTGGGTATTTTATTTTGAAGTGAATAAGTAGGCTAATACGTGGTCATCGGAATGGACTTATTTTATTGACGGTGTTCTTCTAAATATTACGGTAAGCAGCGAAAGGACCTCCTCCGCCAAGCAATGCTGTGTGAGAGTGTGCTGTGGCACTCTGCTTGTGCACCGACCTCCTCCTGCACAATGCAACTGGAAAGGAATTATCATGAAATGTCAAGTCTGGCTTTAATTTCCTACCCTCAGCCATGAAGGAATACTCTGACGTATTTCCAGAGGACCGGAGCCCTTTTTCACGATGAGAATTTATTGCAAGATAGTAGCGATCGTCCTGTGTTTCGGAGTTTTGCTACTTCTGTACTTTTTTGTTGGGAATGCAGCGGACGAGCCGCCCCTGAAAGAAGTTGCGAAGGATAACTATTTTCAAGCTTCCTCCGGACTAGGAAACATAGTTTCTGTCGACCTTGCAAAAAAATCTCACCCGGTGTCTCAGATTTCACAAAATCAGCCACGTCCGAAACGAAAGGACAGTAAAGTGGGGAGTAGAGGAGGCAATACACGCGCAAATGTTAGGTGGGTCAACGATCCGTCTCATTGCTTATTAAACTGTTGATCTCGAACCTTTTTGATATTCCTGCATCACACCGGTTGTGCATATGTAGCCTCTTTATATATTTAGGTCGAGGATAACAATATCGTAATCCATTTCATGCAGGTAGTTAAAGTAAACCGAGTTTCTTTTTTAATAAAAAATATGTTTACATTAGACAAGGTGCGCTCTACTGATGTACTGTGCTGCCTGGTCTTGAAAGTGGTGGAAGTATGTAGTCAATATTCTCTTTATTCATTCAGACACAGTAGTACACTTTACCGAAGGAAGGTCCTCAAGATATGCATCTTATTTTCAAGGACGTGTCGGAAGTCAACTGCAGAATTGCAATAAGAATTTCTGCTGTTGTTTTTATTCTGGATTGTCTCACGTTGGTCAGATGCTGTTACAAAATTCACTTACAGGAACACCTTTCGAAGATATGCCCCTTTTAATTTTTTGTCTATACCCCTGACCTGCTGTATTTCATAGCAGTTGTGCATCTGCGCTGATAGACGAAAAAAGCCTTCTCTGTTAAGTCTTCCTCAATTGAATTTACATTAGCTTTGTGCAATTTAAGATTTGCGAGGGGCGTATTGTACTTTATTGAAGGTCCCTTAAGTCTCGGTGAGCACCGATGTATTTTTACAAAGCTCCAAAGCAGATTTTAACAGCTTTCCAAAGTAAAGTTTAAGATCTTAAGATCTTAAGACACGTTGAATTACCCCATTTTCGGACCGATATTTGTACACCAGCAGAAGACGTCTGGAAAAACATGTTCTCAATATGTTCTTTAAAGAAAAGGAAAAAAAACTTCATTTATACTATGTGTCTGGAATTATGTCAATTATATATGTAAATATATTATAAATAAAGCTATAATTTTAAATCGTATAGCCTATTACTGCATTGACGCTTAATTCAGTTACATTTCATTTTGTCTTTATACTCCTAATGATTGTCTTTCTTTGACTGCTGAGCTGACTTAGGAAATGGTTTGTTATCTCGCAAGAACAGCGTCAAAAACAAATTACCTCGTTACACAAGAAAGCAGTCTGAAATGTCTTTAGTCTTTGGGTGATTAGCATGTAGCAGTACAGTTTTAACTCTAAAAGGAAGCGGCAGGCTAGCCTTTGGTAAAGAAGCATCGCCGTAAACTGTGGTGCTGCTAGATAACGTTCTGAACACCCACATGCTTGTCAGCACTGCAGAACTTCTATACCCATCGTTTGCGTTTGAACTAAGGTCACCTTGAGTGCAGTTAAATCGCCTTTCGCGCAGTCACATGACCTACTTAAAACCCCTCGGAACGGAACCATCGTGTGGCTCGCTGGATTTTATTTTCATAGGGAAATCTTCAAATGGGAGTTTTAATTTTGAAACAAACTGTGACTTGATCACGCCTGCTAACACCTTTGATCCTAACCAGATTTTTTGAAGAAATCTTTTTTTTAAGAATCTAGCTCTGTCGTTTAATGTGAAACAGTAAAGGCAGTGTCTAAGCTGACAAGCAGTGCTTTAGCTTCTTTTGTTTCAATAGAATGGGAGAGCTGTGAGACAATTCTGATGGTTATAGTAGGTGAGAAACAGTGTGACAAGTAATGAGTTAGATGTTAGTTGTGCCAGTGGAACAAGTCAATTCTTTGAATTGCTGTAACATTACAGCTGTACAAATCTTACAGATTGTCAGCTGTAAACTGTTAGTGTTATTCACCGTTTTGAGATTGTCAAAGTCTTCTATATGTACAAAAAAACATACCAGATTCTCTGTCTCTGCTGCTGCTGCAATGACAGAAGCAACTACAAAATACTTTATAATGAACCAAGTGTCATCACAGTGTGACACTGCATGAAGTTTGTCCTTAATAGTGGGCACACCCATGCACTGCTCTGTGCTGATAAACATGAGCATATACTGTACCGTACACAGTATTTGGAGAAACCACAGTATAGAGGTTTATATAGAAAAGAAAGCTCTTGTTAGATGTGTAAGATCACTTTTCAGTGTAAAAATGAATCAGTTGATATAGTATAGTTAAACTTTTTCTGCACAGCAGGAAAACTCCCTGGATAACAAATTGGAATTAAAATGAATGATCCATTGGGTTGGGGATTGTGGGATTAGTTGTTAAGTAGTCACATTTTGCTCTTTTCTTTTGTAAAACTATCCTGAGGGATAATATAGACAAAAACCACAAATGGTCAAGCCTCTGACATGCTGAAGAAGACCTCTTATTAATTTCCCACAGACACTGTCTAGACTAAAGCAACAAGAGCTGGCAGAGAATAGCTGTTTCGTCTATGCTTCTCTTAACAGGGTAAAGCTGGTATGGGGTTTTACATTGTGGAGAAAACCTGCTTATGACATGCATACTTGTTATGTATACAAGATCAATGATCAGCCCATTCTCTCCTAAAGATTTCTGGGGACTTACTGGGTATGAATGGCTAAAAACAACCAACTAAAAGTCAGTTTTACATTTCTGTCCCATTTTATGGCCAGTTTGTCGCAGACATTTTTTTATCTGCTTCTCTGTCCATCTTTGGATAGAATTAATAGTGTGAACGTGGCCATTTTCATAACCAATACTATCCACTTGGGACAGATAAAGACTGGTATAAACAGAGGTGATCCCTGAAGAATTTTGATGTAAAAGACAGAAAGTGCAATACTGTAGCAGATCATCAATTGTAACCATTACTAGTAGTATTACCTTATTAGTTTGCATGAGTATACTATCTAAAGTGAATGCACATTTTCACACATTAATACAGAGAGGTATTTACTGAAGTAATGTGGGTAAAGTATGTTGAATACAGCAGCAAGTACAGAGTCTCGTCTACGGCTGAACACTAAGACCTAAAAAGCAGCTTGAAGTCATAGCATCACACTCCCTTACAGTGCATTTTATCCGATTTGCTGTGCTTGTAGTTGTTAAATGTGACGTTTTCTTGCTACACTGTTACTTATAGTATATCTGATTTTGATCCTTTTGCAGTTTAACAGTGCACAAATTATTTTTATGATTTAATAACCCTTTCGAATTCAGTGTGTTGATCTGTAAATTTATGCATGTTCCAGAAATAACACTTCCTCCACTATTGGAACTTTATGTATATTTTCCCGTCTTTATCAGAAGGCTGCTTATTCCTGTTAGGGACTTCTTGCTTATTCCTGTGACAGTCCCAGTTGTGCTGCATGGACAAGCATAGCCTGGTACTACAACCTGGACAGGACACAAGGCCATTGCAGGATGCATACAGATATAGTTCATAGGATATCTGAGACACCAGTTAACTAGCCAGCTTGTCCTCGGATGGTCAGAGATAACCTGAGCAGCTAGCGAAACCCAAACTTAATACAACTCCTAATGCCCTTTCATTTCAATGCAAGGTATTCCAAAACTCCTTTAGCAAGAATCGATGAGAAGATCATTTTTGGAATATCTGTACGTGGTACAGATGAAAGCTATGCACATCATGAATTCTTTACCTAAAGAGATGTGGGAGTGTGGAGCAGGCTACCCAGTCATGTTGTTGTAGTTGATGTCTCGGTTATTTTCAGGCAAAAATAGCTGGATGACATTCTTGGATCAATACACTACTAACTAGTAACTTTGTAACTGTTCTTATGTTCATTTTGGTGAGGTGACCGTTAAATAATTATCTTAATCTTTGGTTAACAATTCTCATTCCATTTTACATTTTGAAAGACGCTGTTCTAAAGGCATTTTAAACTGTTCACCGTGTTTAGACCTTCTAGAACCCAAACACTCCCTTCCTGGTGAAAGAAGAAGGACACAATCTTCTTAGTTTTCGTAACTCTCATGCTCACTGCTTTTGGAAGAAACAGTTTGAAATTTCCAGTTCAGTCTGGTCATGATGGTAAATGTTTGCAGCTGTGTTATTCAGATTTTTCACAGCTGGCTTGTGATGCTTGCCAATGTGCCTGTTTAAATTTACATACTTTAATTTACTGTAATTTAAATACATTGTGTCCCCTCCCTTCTGTGTTCCCTCTAAATGGTTTTCTTAGTTCTTAGTATTTTTAATGACCACAGAGAGGCAAGACCTCAGTTCAGGGACTGCAATTCTCATTTCTGTCCTTTTTCAGTGCTGTTTGCGGAATATCTTGGTTTAAAAGGTTTAGTGTTTAGGTTTAGAAAAAAACACCCATTTATTTTGTGGAAAAATCTATTTGTTTTTTCCCCTTTAACTATCCTGTATTTTTTCAGCTCTGGCTGGTTTTACTGCAGTAGCTCAAAATCACCCTCTATGCATGAGCATCCTAAGAAATTTGGAAATACATTTTTGTACGCTTTGTCAAATAAATTGGTTTACCATAACTAGCTTTAAACATGAGGAAGCCAAATGCAGAAACCTCTTGGCAGACAAGTCTACAATCTAGAGCTGGAAAATCTGTTAATCTCTCTGACATGGCACATGATCCGTACTGCAGGGCTTGTTGCAAAAGGCTTGATTCATTTGAACTCTGGTGCACTGCAATGAAATGTTTTTTTTTTCCTTCGAGGTAGGTTTTGATTCAAAGGAAAAAATATTGTAACACAGTGTGTTTCTCCCAAATGGCTAAAATTGTGGATTCATCGAAGTACTACACAAGTTTTCAGCTTCCTTGGATTTCTGCGAGTACTTGTAAAAACACTGTCTCAGAGAAACATTCACTGCTTTTCATCGGAGCAAAGAACAAGCTCTTCTATTATGATAAAACACTAAAGAATGGCTTGGTTTTGCAACAGCTGATTGTAATATTTCTATGTTTTGCTTAAAGTAATGCATCATTTTATTACAATGCTAGATGTCCAGGTAGCATTGCTCTAGATCTCATCTGCCTTACATCTATAATATGATTTCCGCTGTTAGTGATAAGGTAAATCAATTTTTCTTCTCTTGAGAGCCAATCAAACAACTGACCATACCGCTTGTAATAGGCCACTGGGGGATTTGAATAACGGTTGTACTTGCAACTCTATGTCAACAGTGATTATATTTCTTTACACTTATATAGCACGTTTCTAGACACTCCACTCAAAGTGCTTTACAGGCAATGGACTCCCCTCCACCATCACCAATGTGGTGTATCACAATGGATGATGCAATGGCAGCCATAGTGCACCAATACTCTCACTGCCCATCAGTGGGGAGGAGAACAGAGTGATGAATCCAGTTCATAGACGGGGATTATTAGGAGGCCATGATTGGTAAAGGCCAGTGGGAAATTTGGCCAGGATGCTGGGGTAACACCCCTACTCTTTTCAAGAAACACCCTGGTAATTTTAATGACCATAGAGATTCAGGACCTTAGTTTTGCATCTCATCCAAGGGATGACACCTGTTTACAGTATAGTGTCCCCATCACTATACTTCAGCATTAGATCCCATATAGACCACAGGGTGAGTGCTCCATACTGGCCCCTCTAAGACCTCTTCCAGCAGCAGCCTTAGCTTTCCCAGGAAGTCTCTCATCCAGGTACTGACCAGGCTCACACCTGCTTAGCTTCAGTGGGTTGCCACTTATGAGTTGCAGGGCGATATGGCTGCTGGCAAATAATGTCAGCATTAATAGATCGACACACTATTCAGTTTGTTTAGCAAAAGATTTGGTAAGACTAGCATTTAAAACAGATTTATAGTGGATATAAAAAATCTACACACCCTTATCGAAATTGCAGGTTTTTGTTATGTAAAGCCAGAAATCAAGATCAATCATATCAGACATTTTTACATCTTTAATGTGACCTTGCAACCAACAAAATACAAGAGAAAAACAGATTGATAATTATTAGGAAAAATAATTGAAATTTAAAAAACCTTGTTGCCTAAGTGTTCACACCCCCCCCCCCCCAACTAATACTTTGTGGAAGCACCTTTTGCATTTATTACAGCAGTAAGTCTTTGTGAATAAGTCTCTATCAACTTTGCACACCTGGACTTTGCAATTTTATCCCACTCTTCCTTGCAAAAAAGTTCAAGCTCCTTCAAATTGTCAGGGGATCTCCTGACAATTTGAAGGAGCTGGAAGCCCTCTTCAGGTCAGTCCACAGGTTTTCTATGGGATTGAGTTCTGGGCTCTGAGTGGGCCATTACAAAACTTTGATCTTCCTTTTCTAAAGCATTTCCTTGGCTGACTTGGATGTGTGCTTTGGGCCGTTATGTTGGAAGGTGAAATTCCTTCAGCTTCAGCTTTCTGACAGAGGCCAGCAGGTTTTGTGCCAAAATATCTTGATGTTTGGAACTAGTCATTATCCCATCTACAGTATGTTGACTAGAGTCCCTGTCCGACCTGAAGAGAAGCAGCCCCAAAGCATGATGCTGCCACCACCATGCTTCACAGTAGGTATGGTGTTCTTTTGGATGATGAGCTGTATTGTTTTTGTGCCAAACATATCTTTTAGAATTAAGGCCAAAAAGTTCAACCTTTGTCTCTTCAGACCATAATACATTTTCCAACATGATTTGGGGTGATTAAATGTATTTTTTTAGCAAACTTTAGATGGGCTTGGATGTTCTTTTTTGTGAGAAATGGCTTCTGTCTTGCCACCCTACCACATAGCCCAGACATGTGCAGAATACGGGAGAATGTTGTCACATGCAAGGAGTGACCAGTACCTACCAGAAATGCCTGCAGCTCCTTTAATGTTGCTGTAAGCCTCTTGGTAGCCTCCCTGATAAGTTTTATCCTTGTCCTGTCATCAGCTTTGGAGGTACCTTTCATTAATAAGATTTTGTCAGCTCCTTGTGGACCATGGCTATCCCAGTAGGATGCAACCACGAAAGTTTCAAGGAAATCCTAAAGGAACAGCTGATTTTTATCTGGGTTCATCAGAATCACTTTCAGTGATGGCAGGTATATGCTACTTATCTTTGGACATGATTTTGAATGTGTTAACTCTGAACACAGCTACAGGCCCTATTATAAAATGCACACTTATGCAACCAGGGTGTTGTAGGTTTTTTAATTGCAATTATTTTTCCTAATTATTATCTATTTGTTTTTTTCTTGAATTTTGTTGGTTGCCGAGTCACATTAAAGATGGAAAAATGTCCGATATAATTTATCTTGATTTCTGGCTTTACATCACAAAAACCTACAATTTCAATAAGGGTCTGTAGACTTTTTATATCCACTGTACCTACATTACAGGGAAGCTTGTGCTCTAAAGTAGACTCATAGACACAGTATGTTTACTATGAAAAAGCTGTTTCATAAGTCTATTTAGGATTATTTTTGCCAAAATTGTATAAATGTGTGAACTTGATTTGCAAGTAATGAGTTTAACCAAAGCTGAGATATATATTTGCTGCTCAAAATAAACTGTTGGGTTCTCCAGGTATCTCCAAATACTTGAATCTTTTAAGCAAAACATAGCTGTTTTTAATTGTTAATCTCCTATCTTTGAATATTGTTTAATTTTTTGCATGATCAAGTATGATATTTATGATATTGGTGAAGAAAAGCCTTGACCTTCACATATCCAAAATACTGTTTGAGTCTTTTACCGGTTATCTAGGGAGCCATTTATCACACCTAATCGCTGCTGTGTTAATGTCTTTCCACCATGCAGAAAAACCAAATGAGATGCAAAGTCTGTCCCGATTTGTCTGGCTGATCAGTTAGGGCACCTTGTCATACAGCGCTGATAAAATCAGCCTTTTCAAATTTCACATTCTGTTTCAGCCATACATCATTCCCTTGGTTCTTAGAGTGTGCAGAAAGCATTTATTTTGATGTTTTCTCTCAGTAGTATGATCAATTTCACTGCCAGCAAAAGGCCATTTCCTTAAAAAAAATCTACATAGATAAATGATATCCCTGGTGCCAGGAATTTGTTAAAAAATCAAATGCTCAGTTTTCTCAGCTTTGTCACCATGTATACCAATATCCTGAGAACGTGCTGGATGTGTAAATTTTATAAGAGAACACTTACGTCCACAAAGAGAACTATTGAACCTTGTATTTCATATGTATATAAAATATATTTCTTTGTATTCTGAATACAGTTCCATTCATGCAGCCCATATACACGTTTTCCTTATATCCTTAACTTTTTATGTCAGCCAGCAGGTAAAGCACTCTGCAACTCAAAACTGACAGCCCACTGAAGCTCAGCAGGTATGAGTCTGGCCTGTACCTGACTGGGAGACCTCCTGGGAAAGCTAAGGTTGCTGCTGGAAGAGGTGTTAGTAGGACCAGTAGGGAATGCTTGCCCTGCAGTGTGTGTGGGTCCTAATGCCCCAGTACTGTATACTGATGAGGACACTATACTGTAAAAAAGGCACGGTCCATCAAATAAGACTTAAAACCAATGTCGTGAGTCTATGTGGTCATTAAAAATCCCAGGGCATTTCTATAAAAGGTGTACCCCTGGTGTTCTGGCCAAATGTCCCCTGGCCTTTACCAATCATGGCCTCCTAATAATCCCCAAATATGCCTTTGCTTCATCATTCTGTTCTCTTCCCCACTGATAGCTGGTGTGTGGTGAGCGTACTGGTGCACTTTGGCCGCCGTCGCATCATCCAGGGAATACACATTGATGCTACTAGAGGGGAGTGCCCACTGCCTGTATAGAGCTTTGAGTGGATTGTCCAGAAAAGCACTATATGAATATAAGGAATTATTATTATGTCTTCACTGCTGTTTCTATCATTTTTTCAAATTTTTTTCTATCATATTTTTGTAATGATGGTGTTAAATCCAACAATATCCACAAAACAGAAGCATTTTTCATTGCAGAGGAAGGGAAAACAGCACATTGTTTTAACCAAAAAAATCCAGTGGTGCAGATGATCTCTTAAAAGGCAAGGTTTTAAGAAATCTTTTTTTCTGGCCAGCTGAAAATGAATCGAGGTGGGGATATATATGATTCATTTGATTAGGGATTTGACACTTTGTAGCTATGTTTCACCTATGATTTGTGATTGTGATATAATAGTCTTCATGGATTTATTTTTTAGAAAAAAGAGCGAAACAGTGAAGTTTGCCTTGAAGTATGTTTCTCCAGAGGAGTGGATGCATTTGGCTGTTGTGGCTTGTGGGAATCGACTGGAGGAAACCCTCACCATGCTGAAATCTGCTCTTCTCTTCAGTATAAAGAAAATCAAGTTTCATATCTTTGCTGAAGATTCCCTAGGTCCTCAGTTTGAAAAAGGGGTAAGTCCTGTGTCACTGTGTTACCAGCGGCATCTTTGTGATGTGTAAATGTACAGGCAGTGTTTTTCAAAGGTTCCTCTTGTCATAACTCCCTTTCTATAGTCTTTCGTAATGTGTACATTTGTTTGTTGTTCCTCAGTAGTTACTCCATCTTGAATTCAGAAGCATGTCAGAATGTTGCCAGTTGTTCAAAAGCTGCTTTGGGTTTGGAGTGTGAAATAAAAGCTGACAGCTCCTTTAATGTTCAACTTTTCCTCTGGCAGTAGAGGATCTTGCAGGACTTAGTTCATTGTGCAGATGAAGCATGGCCTTTTTAAGTGTTCTCCATCACATTAACAACTGTGTCAGACTTTCTGATTTTCTTTGAAGTCTTTACGAACCTGTGCTGGGAACCTGTAATTTGTGTGAAAAAAACTGAGCCATACGATAACATAAAATGTTAATCATTATTTTTAATGACTGAAGCCATGTATAATAATATTCAGACACTGTCTGAAAACTATGAATAATATGGACTTGTCAGATATGTAAAAAGAAAACAATTATCAACCTTTTCCAGGTGCTTTTTAAATTACTTTTTCTGGTTTGACAGTCCCAAAGCATGGGACATAAAACATATCTTCCTGATGCTGTATCTTTTTCAGTATTTGTTTTTTGCAGTTGTACATGGTCTTCATGTCTGCAGTCAACTACAGTATATAAAAGGTTTTCCTACTGAAGATTTTTGTTGCTGAAGGCTTTTGTAACTTCTAATTTGGGATGCTACTGCACAGTAGTATGAGAAACCATGTGGATGTATCTCTAAACTCGGTTGTTTAACTTAAGAAATTGACTAATAATTTGGTTGAATAATAAAATCCTCAGTCAACAAGGGCCTTTTTTAACACCTTCCACTAAACTTTGATCATTTGACAAAGCACTAATGTTAGGGCAAATGTGCAAGTGATTATCCAAATCAGATTTGGACCAACACATTATTTCTGCTACAAGGTGTGTTTGGAATAACATATTCATGTAGAGATTCATGTAGCAGAAGTGGTCAACATAACTTCTGTGGTCTGGGCTCATTAACATGTTCTTGTGAAGAGACTTTGATGACGGAGAAAAGTGCTTTCGTATTTGCATTTTAAAAGAGTCCTCACGGGGAGGCTCAGTTGTCAGGGCAATAAAGAGTAAGTGGACAGGGCACAATAAAGTGGGCGTTGAGCAGGAACTGAAACATTCAAACTCAAAGGCATAGCAAGCAAATGACAAAAGTATTGTTTAAAAAGTAATAGGAAAATAGTAGAAAATAGAGAAATCTGTAAAATCATTAAGAATGCACAATGTGCAACAGCTGCTGTATGTGAATACTGGGGGAAACACTGGTATATTATGGCACATTAACTGTTAACATACAGTAAATGACGACATGAGCTCTCTTGACCATAAGAACAATTACAAATGAGAGACCATTCAGCTCACCTTCTTTGGTAGTTAGAAGTTCATTAATCTAACCACTTCTTGTGACCAGGCTCACAGCTTCAGCAACATGGCTGGATGGGATATTACCCAAAGTGCTTCCAGTTCCCAGTTTTGAATGCACTTTCACATAGTTTCCAATTCTGCCTTCTGGTTTGTATTGCCCTGGTCTTACAGCTTATTCCTTACAAAGGGCTGTTAATTACTCATGATGAACATAAAAGAAGACTTACACACAAAAAGGACAATCAGGTAAAGGTAAAAATAACATAAAGGTAGTGTTTGGAAACATCTAATAGGTTTATTCCATGCTGAAAAAAAAGAAGAAAGAAAACACAACATTTCGGCCATGGAGCCTTCTTCAGGTGTGTGGGAAACATCTGTCCATATTATTAAACTTTTAGTACAGTGTCACAGTGAGCCAGAACCTGAAGTGACAGACAGTGGATGCAAGACTGGACAGGAAGCCAGTCCTTTGCAGAGAAAGTGTACAGGGACAATTAAGAGACTTCAAGTCCTATAGACAGCATGTTTTAGAACCGTGGCAGAAAGCCCCACACAGACGGTGCGAACAGAAGCTGAATATGAACCCAAGGGCTATGGCAATCCTGACAGGCACGAGACCATGCCGTTTCCAAGAATTACGACAGATGCAACAAGAAGAGGAAGAAGAAGAACTGGAATTGGAATCGGCAGTGTTGCTTTAACGATGTTGTATGCCTGTTATTGCTGTCGCCTTCCACAGCAAAAGCTGAAACTCATGTGTTGTGTGTGCACTTCCGTCCTTGTGCAATAGAGCCTCCACAGCAGGGCTGCAGGTTTCAGAATGCATTGCTCCGGTGACCCATTCTGATACATTTTAACTTGTACATTTCTTCATCAACAGTATGTTAGTGGTTCACTTTAGGCCACAATAGTTCACTTCCCACTCTGCAGTGACCGGTTCAGCGACCAACTACTTACACTTCATGTTTTTCATGGCACTGCTTTTGTTCCAAATTTCACTTAAAAGACAAGACACTCAGCACTAGGGCAATGACTGCCTGCTGCCCTTGCACCAAGGTTTGTCAAAGTCAGGTCCCTTACATCAAATAAAACCAAGTCACAATTAAGGACCAGTGCTCTTATTTATTCATTTAATCATTCTCTTTTTATTGTTCCTGCTGGGTGCACTTACACTTCCATACTAATGTCAGAGTTCTACCTGTGTGGCTTTTCAAAGTTCAGGAGCACTATAGGAGGTGTGGAGTCCTTTTCCCTTGGTTATTAATGTTTTTACTCAGTAGTTTTTCAAGATTGTGTACCTTGGTCTGATTAGTTTACCTCTTTACCAAGGGTATGTAATTGGTTATTAGGTCAAAAGAGAGTGTTGCAGAAGCATTTTAATGTAGCGACGATCTGTGTTTTAATCCTGGTTTCAAATGTGTACATTGTTGATTTTAAAGTGGCCTGAAAACCTTTTTAATTAAGACATGTCCTGGATTGGATCTATATCTATTTTTAGTTGCTTATTCATGCCTTTTTAATTGTAGCTTTTTGTGCGGCGCTGGCCTGTCAGCATCCAGCTGGACCCTGTTTATTTCAGATTTTGTAAAATTCTTACTGCTTTGTGAGTCTGTGAAAAATACACTGCCCAACTCCTTTATTAGGAATAATTTACCCCCAGTGAAGCCCAATGAAGCAAAACATATGTCACACAATCTGATGGAGATAAATAAGTAAAGAGGAAATCATGAAAAAAAGCAAACTATTGTGCATTGGTTCCTTTTAAAAGCAAAGAGCTGCTGAGGGGAGTGATTGTTGAATCTGTATCTGCTCTTTGCCTGAAAACACAGCTGTTGTAAATCTACATTAATTATTTCTCTGTCAGCAGAAATACATGCCAGCACATAATGTTTTGATTTCTTGTATTCACGTATTGTTAAATTATACTGTGGAGTATTGAGGAGCTCAGAACTAAGCAGAGCATGATACACCTTCACACACAGCACATTTAGGAGGTAGCTCAAATCACACACTATATTTTGAGATATTTTCTTTCACAATCTACAGAGACTTCTCTGCTTATTTCAGTACTCCTCTCCAATAACTAGAAAAGGAAAAACAGGATTTTTGGTAAATGATTCAATACTTTATTCTGTTCTCTAAAAAGAATGTCATATACATTCAATTTTTTACTTTTTAAATTAACAGAACTTCACATGCTCATTGCATTGCACAAAGGTTTGCATTTTTAACTAATTAAACATATTTGCCTGTTACTAGATTTCAATGGTTGATCCTATGTTCAGAAAAATTCCATCATTATCCTATGTTTGACTTCCATCAAAGACAAAGGGGTCAGCTTTATAGTAGACATCAGATTCTCACATTACTAAAGCCTATGTAATATATCACTGATGCCTTGGCTAACCTTTTTTAATATAACCCTTGTACTGTACGTGTGATATGTTCAAGTTATAAAAATCAAGCTTTAAATTGTATAATAACTGATTCTCTCTTTGCTTCTCTCTTGGGATATGTAAGGACAAAATTAGGTTTGTATTAGCACTCAGATGTTCCTGTTGAAATATAGGCCTATTTTAAGTGAAGGGAATTTCAGCTGAAATTATTCTGTTTTTCCAGAGTGGTGACAATCGTACAATAATCAGGAATGGAGGGATGAACTGCAAAATGGAAAACACTAGACCTGTAGCAGTATAGTTTATTTGTAAGATTGCATTACTATTAATACTATTACATGGGTTACAAATACCATGTTTCTTGATTGTGGTCAGGATCTGACTAATGGTCAGATCTAAACAAAACAATTCTGAAATGATGCATTTCTCTGTCCTCACCACAGAGATGACTGTCTCTGTTAGTATCAGCATTGTGTTCAGAAACATGCGTTTTATTTTTTTTTTAAACTTGACATATTACATTCAAGACAGGTTTCTGGTTTGGAATGAAAAACTCATCATCCGGTCTTTTTGTCTTTCAGCTGAACCAGTGGCCTCACCCCATTTCCTCCAAGTTTCAGTACAGTATCTATTCCATCACATTTTCAGTGGGCAACACACAGGAATGGAAGAAGCTATTCAAGCCGTGTGCAGCACAGCGCCTCTTTCTTCCGGTAAGATTTAACACGTTTCATTCAAATGCACTGCACAACACGCACCAAAACACTTGGAAGTGTTGATACTGCCTGAGTCAGAATATTAAAACAAATGGGCTCTCAAATCAGATTTTTAATGTGGCTTTTTTTAGACCAAAGCACTCAAATGCTTTGAAATCTTTCAAAGCATTCAATTCCTGACTGTGGTTAGCGCAATTATTGCAGATAAGTGGTTGATGACAACAAATGTCAAAAAAATTGCTCTGCTCACATGACACTATTATTTTATCCCTCAGCTAACTCAGATAAATACGTTTTACTACATATATATTGAAACCATTTTACTGTAGCTCTTATATAATTTTCCCTAAAACAGCAGTAGGTACGTTCCTACACTAGACAGTTATTGTTTTGCCATCCTGCAAATTAAATTGTAGGGCTTTGGTAATATATTTTACCAGTTCCTAGGAACTAATTCATTATGAAATGCAAATGGCAATTTCAATTACTTCTCTTAATGACATTTATATGCAAACAGGCTGAGTATCAAGGAAATGAAAGACTAAGGACCTCATAGTGGGATGTGAACCATTGGACTGATTTCTTGGTGAATCTGAGTTAATTCAGTCACAGTCGGGAAGCAGTTTCCTGTGTTTTTCTCTGTATGTTTCTGCTTACTGATTGATTGTGTTTTTTAATGCTTCACACCTGAAGGTATCAAATGTATCATTTCTGGTGTTTTTTAAGATTTGTGTTTTATTTCAGCTGTCATCACTGCTGTGACATCTTTTTATTCTAGTCCTTAAAAGAAGGCCAAGGCAGACTTATGTTTCTCAGAAGATTAAAAACCCAGTCTGAAAATAGGAGTGAAAAACACTGTTGGGATTTCTGATGCTTTTGATTTGTATTTATGTATATCAGTTAAATATAGTGAGTTCAGAATAAAATGTACTCTAATTTGCTTCCATTTTATCTTGTAGGATATCTCAAGCAGATAGTTTTAAAAGGATTTTGTACCCTTGGATGAGATTCTTATTAAAATTTCTTTTTTATTTTATTTTCTTTCCAAGGGGGTTTAAAATAGTTTCCACAATGTCATTTCATTTTGTAGGTTGGTGATTTTAACCCACAGATCTGCTTTATTCTATTTATTTCAGTGCATGTGTTTTTTTTTTAACAAACAGGTGATCTTGAAGGAGGTAGACTCTCTCTTGTATGTGGATACAGATGTCCTCTTCTTAAGACCCATGGATGATATCTGGACCTTTTTGAAAGAGTTCAATAGCACCCAGCTGGCAGCCATGGCGCCAGAGCATGAAATCCCTAAAATTGGCTGGTACAGTCGCTTTGCTCGTCATCCATTTTATGGAGTGACAGGAGTCAACTCAGGAGTGATGCTTATGAATCTGACACGGATAAGAAGCACACTATTTAAGGTAGGGAAAACAGTCAGAGTCACGGTTAAGAAGGATGTAAATCTTTAATTTATTGTGACTATCAAGGATATGCATAATATTTCATAGTACATTACCCCCACTAAAATTTGTTTTTCCATCAGCCTTTTGATATGATATATGATCTGGATTGATCTCTGCTGATCAGTGTGAAAGCTGGTCAGTTTGATTATGCACCTTGAGTGATGTATTTTCAGCATCACTATCAGACAGTTACTTAAGGCCAAGTCCAAGTCTGTACCATGCCTAACCTATGGGTAAGGAGAATTAGACTTGTGCTTCTGATTTAAAGAAAAGTGTGGTTAGAAGACAGAAATGTCTTTGAGGAGTCCAATGGGCAGAATGCGTGGATTGATGAAACATTTTAAAAAAGAGGTTGGCTAGTTCTAAACATTTCTAGTGTGCACAAGTTAAAAAATGTATGCCACACATACATTTTGTGTCCACTTAAACTTAGATTGTATTTTTAGCTCTGCCTCTGAAACTCTTAAGTGCTGCTATTTCTATTCAGATGCCTTGAAAGGGCAGTGAAATAACGGCTTTTCTTTTCAAATGTCACATTTGCTAAAAATGTGTGTTTACAAAACCCTGATCTGTCAGCTCAGAGCATTGAAAGTAGTTGTTCCTGACATTTATAAGGGAAAAAAACATTTAATGCAACATTTCCTTTCTTGTTAATCCTGCAGAACAGCATGATCCCTGCTGGTTTGTCATGGGAGGATCTCCTTTACCCTCTTTACCAGAAGTACAAAAATCATATCACCTGGGGAGACCAGGACCTATTAAACATCATTTTTCACTACAATCCAGGTATGCAGGTATTTCGGATCAAATATGTCTTAACAAGGGGACAGATAAAATATGAGCATTAGTCCTTGGGAGTTTCAGAATTTGATTGCTCACTGGAGCATTAACCTCTAATTTAGTTGTATTGACTTTTGGGACCATGTTATAGCTTCAAATGCTGTGCAACCGCTCTCAAGGGATAAGGTGTTTGCAAAATGTTTTTTTTCTGTAAAACAGAAAAGGAAAGACAGACATTTTTTAATAATTTCTGTCATCATCCTGTTTTAAAAAAATGGTTTTTCCTATTTTAATCATAAACCTTTCCTGGCTCTGCAGAAAGGAGTAGGTGTTCTGATGCACTCACTTTTGTGATGAAATTCTTGCTAACGGTTGTTTCAAGTGTTACTTTTCAGTGTTACTGCAGATTGGCAGGAGATAATTGGGAGAGGGATTTAGCACCATCCTTGGCAAACTTAAATCAGTCTTCTGCATAAGATATGTCTATGTTTAGCTCAGTATGTGGAGCAAATGACAAGTGGGAAATGTAAATGCACAGCTGTTTGCCTCAAAAAATGTTTATAATAAAATGCTAATTTACTTAAATGGACTTTGGCAAAAATAGCAGAGGTAGGATTTAATTATTACGTAATAGGTACACAAAATTTTCTGTCATCTGTGTTTTACTAAAATGCATCTTAATGGGGAGGAGCTGTATTAAGTGATTGCAATTAATGAGATATCCAAAACCATGTTACTGCAAATATATATATATTTTTATAAAAGTATTTTGTAAAAAAAAACAGTGCTAAGTGAGTTTGTATATGATTTTGACTTTTTCTGAGAAAACAGACATGCTACTGTACATCTGGTTCCAAATTTGTTATACTGTATAACATACAAATTTTAAGCAAAAAAATACATGTGTATATTTAGTATCTGTTACATTAAATATTTCAGGCAGTTCTCAGTGTGGATATTTGATCATTCTACAATGCAGAATGTCTCCAGTGCAGCTCCTTCAGATTACACAGATTGCTCTTATATTATAAATGGTTTTCTTTATGTTCTGTTGAATTTAGATCTGGAGATTGCGATGGTCAGTCAAGAATGATGATTTTATGCTCGCTCAACAATTTTTCAGCAGTTTTGGAGGTTTGCTTTCGATTGTTAAATTGCTAGAAAAATCCATCTGTGACCACCTTTGAGCTTCATAACAGGGAAGCAGTTTTCTGGCTAAAATAACCATCCCTCAATTTTAACAGCAGCACCAGGGCCAGGGAATTAAAATCTGACACACTTTCATACTTCACAGAAGCGATGACATTCTTTTCAACAAGACACTCATCATTTCAGTCCCAGTCGTTTAGCTCATTTACATGTCCAAATAGGTTTTATGGCCCAGAGGTTTTAAAATGAGGACCCAAATAGAGAGCTTTGAGGAGGGCTCACCATGACTGGATTGAGCAGTACGTAATACCTAGACAACCGGCCAGATATTGTGCACTTGAGTTGATGGAAGACAATCATCCTTGTTCCAGACTCCAACAAACATATGTATAAAAATATGTCCAATTCTTATTTTTAAAAGCACTTTACCTCTGTTTGTCCTCTGCACACTGAACTGTGTCCTCTGGTTGTGTTAATACTTTTAGTTCTGAGGATGTTCATTGGTCAGGGTGTTTGGAAATTTGCTTGTAGGCGGTCAGTGTAGGGCATTCATTTGAGCCTGTCAAAGCATCTAGTCTCTCTGATCTGATTGCCACGTGGTAGCCTTTTTATTACATCATGGTGACAAAAATTGTGCACAATATTCTAACTGTGGTCATACTAGTGCATTAAATCTTAATACCCTTTGATTTAAATTCTGTACTTGTAACTGTATACAGTATACCAGTCTCCTGTTTGCCTTTTTTATTGCTTGCCCATTGCTTTTTATGACCTTTTTTATCCAAGTGGTAGTCCTGAGGTTGCTCTAAGTATTTTTAAGTTTCTTTTGCAGGTTCTGCAATTTGCTAACCTTCCTATTTTGGTATTGTCTATGAACCTGACTAATTTGCTAGCTACTGTATGCCAGCATCTAAACTGAGAGACATTAAAAATGCAGCAGATGAATATAAGTTATTTGTCACAATTGAGTTTTTGGTGTTTTTGATACTCTGAGTGGACCCTGCTAGTTACAGCACATGACCCTGCTGGACTATGCACCCCATTTCTGTACCCAGCTCTTGATTCACATATATGCTGTGAAATACCTTGAATGTCTTCTGCCTGTGATTGATTTTAGAATATGGAACATTATCAAAAGTCTTCTGAAAAACATAATGTACCAAAAATGCTCTGTTCGTATCTGTTACTGCTTTAGGTAGTTAAAAGAAAACTTGATTGTGTGAAAACACTTGATCAATGCAGGCATTTCCTCTAGTAGCTGCTCTGACAAACTGAGCAACAAGGCTGTCATTACCCTTGTCTTCCATTCAGTTTTGGCTGCTGACATTGTTATTGTTTTTGTACAATCTATGTGAGGAAGATAAACACTCCACTAATGTTTTTCTTATCTCCACAGCTCTCACTTAGCCAAGTATTAGTGATATGAATTCCATCATCATTGCATGCCAATGTAGTTCCTTCTACATCTTCTGTTTTACTCCTAATACATCTGGCATTAAGGCATAATAATTTAATTACCTGGTCCTTTAACATTTTATGTCTCCCTTGGGTTCTGTTTTTGATTCTCATCCCTGTTTGTGATATTCTGCGTGAATATCCCATGCAGAATTTTTTTTGGACTGTCCCTTTCCATTCTACTGTAGTTAAAATATATTTTTTAATTTCTCTATGAATGCTTGTCCCTACAGAACTGGTGCCCATCTCATTACTGTACAGATGTACAGATGGCCATAAAAGGGTGTTCAGAGGCCTAAAAAGATGATAGCAGGCAACGTCCTCACCCACATGTTACCTCGACAGATTACTTTTTTGTTACTGCGTTTGTCTTTGCGTTGTGCAGGCAGGTCCCAGAAAAGACCACTAGTTGGGTCCTGCTTTTCACTTAGTGTCTAAGGTCTGAATGTTTCTTGAATACAAAGTTGTTAACACCAATGTCATGAACAACACTGTTGGGACCTTACCTGCCTTTCTAAGAAAACTGTTTTCAATGGCCATCATTTGTCTTCAGAAATCTTCTAGGAGTTTTGAAAACCTACCAAAGGATCACAAAGCAGTGTAATTTTACATGACCAACTTTTGGATTTTTCATTTCATCCAGTACTGATACTCTTACGATTATTTGTCCATCCATTATCAGAAAGCCGTTTATTCTTGGCAAGGCTCGTGATAGCCTGGAGCCCATCCCAGAAACAGGGCGCAATGCAGGACTGCAATCTAAACAGAATGCCAGTCCATCGCAGGGAGCACACTCACACATAAGTACAACCAGGCCAGCACATCTTTGAAAGGAGAGTGAAAATCCATGTAAACATTAGGAGAATATCAAATTCTACACTGAACATTCCCAAGTCCAGACTCAAACCCAGAGCCCGAGACCAGCAGCGCTAATTGCTATGCTACAAGATCACACCCAATTATTCATGTTTTCATTTATGAAAGGGTATGAATCAAGTTGAGGCTAGCCGTGTTTATATTTTGAGGGGATTGAATGGTGCTCTTATCATCACACACTCTATTTTGTCTTCAGAAACGGAATTACAGAATGCCTCTCTTCAAGGACAGCAACGAGCTATTAAAATGAAAAATGTATTACCGGGATTAACGAGTAGTCATTTTATATAAATAGTGATGATAATGAAACATTCGGCTGTGCAGAAGCGTTCGAGTGCGTTTGTGGATGTAATACGTCTTCACTGCTGAAGCTAGTCTACATGTTGTTAGAATGCAAGAAAGATCATTTTTATGCAGGTTGGGGTCACACTGTGAAAGAAACAGGATAATAAGCCCTATTGGTGATGACAGAATTGTTTGACTCTATATACTGTTTTTCATACTTTATCACTTACATTTCCTGTATAATAAAGTATTTCTGCTGTTCCAAATTTTCATGCGTTTCTGTGCCAGCCCTGTGTTGTGACAGAACTGTTGTAGTCTACAGTGCTTGAATCCAATTCCTTTTCCTTTGTAGTTTTAAGCGTGTCTGTGAGAGCAGGAGAACCAACCGCTCCCACAGGCTTTGCCTGCAGTGATATCCACAGGTGCAGCAAGATAGGCAGGATATTAAATATTTTTAACGCCGGGATGTGCTTTGGCAGATGTGTTTTGTTTTGTCTGGCAAGAGAAAAAGAAGCAATGTTAAGCGGATTCCCGGATTCCGCCTGCAGGAAGCTGCCAACAGACCATTCTGAAAAAGGGTGACTACTGCCTGAGTGTTACAAATGCTGTTGCTTCTTTTATGACCTCGAATCCTAAGAATGTTGTTTTAGTAATACAGAATGTTCTAGAACTTTACGATTAAAGCAACGACTGTCTGTTCAACACAGAGATTATGGCACGAGACGTTAAATTACATTCCGGACATTTCCTGTGTCGTTGTTCAAAGCCTGTGTGCTTGATTTCACCTCTCAGAGTGCCTTTACATCTTCCCATGCGAGTGGAACTACAGACCAGATCACTGCATGTATGGCAGCAACTGCAAAGGAGCTGAAGAAGAAGGCGTGTCAGTCCTGCACGGAAACCGTGGTGTTTACCATGATGACAAACAGCCCGCCTTCAGAGCTGTGTATGAGGCCATCCACGATGTGAGTAGGCAGGCTCTGCACGTAAAGAGAAGGAGGCTGCCCTGGCACAGGGTCACTGGGAAAAGCACAAACACCTAACAGAATTCAGGCGGTATCTGAAGTTTAAACACAAATGTACCACTGGTTTTCCCTTTAGATTCACAGCACAGTATTAAAAGATGTAGCATTTATTTTTTTTGTGAGCAGGCACTTGTTTGATGTCACATTGTCTTGGTTATTTCAAACCAAGAAAAAAAGACTTAGTACATTTTGTACATTTTTAAGACATGATTTTTAAGAGAAGACATTTGCAGCACAGTGAGTAGTGCAATGGTCATGTTAGATTAATTAAGTATAATCATTCTTATTATGGGCAGCATGGTTCAATTCCACAGTTCCTGGGTTAAATTCCATACCTGGGATGCTATCTGTGTGGAGTTTGTATGTTCTCCCCTTGTTTTCATGGGTTTCCTCCAAGTGCTCCTGTTCTCTCCCACAGTCCAAAAAAGACATGCTGGTAGGTTAATTTACTTTTGGCCCTGGCGTGAGTGTGTTTCTGTGTGTGTCTGCCTTATGATGAGCTAACGTCCCATCCAGAATGTACCCTGCCTTGAGCACAGTGCTTGGATGAAGCAATTAATGGATGGATGGGTCACTTTGTAGAATTAGAACGATTTTTACTTCGGTTGAAGAATATTATTGAAGGAAAATCTAAAAAAAGATGGCATGTTCAAGCTTTGAATTCCCCTGTTGCCCAAAAAGCTACAGACTTAACAAAAAAAAGCACACACAAAATTTCTGTTAAAATATTATAGGTAGCTATTAAGCTATTTGTATTTGACTTAAAGTCTGAATGTTATTTTTATCATTTTAGTTTTATTACATACCAATGGTGATATATTAAAAACAAGTTTCCCCTTTATCTTCGTCAATGTCTTAGCTCCCTCTAGTGGTCCCAGTTTTAACATTTGCACCATGTTAGAGCAACTATTGACATGTAGGACAAAACTTGGGTCTTAATTTAAGACACAGAAGGTTTTTGCCAGTTTTTCATCTGTGGCAAAACTTTTTTTGCATGTTAGGGTTTTGCCTCATCTGCTTGCTCTACATCATCATGTAAATAAAGCTTTTTTGTTTTTATTCTTTTCATGTGATACATGCAGATCATGTGATACATATTTTAATGGAAATCTTAAGACTTGCTAAAATCAAATATATTTCAAAACTGAGGGCCGGATGTTTTTTTTCTCTTTCAGTATCCTTTTGAAGAGAACCTGTTCCAGTCATTGTTTTTCCCACTCCAAACTAAATTTCTGGACACGGTCAATACTTTGTGTGGCCGCATTCCTCAAGTTTTTCTGAAACAAGTGGAAAAAAACATGAGAAAAGTTTATGAGCAACGTGTAGTTGTTCACCTGAGGCCACCACATAACTAAAAAAAAACTGTTTTGATTCTGATTCATCTGCAAGGAGCTGTACAGCCACCAAAGACATTTTCTTCTACAATGGGGATTTTACCATTGACATTGCAATGGGAAATTTGGATAAAGTGAAGCTTTGTGAAGAAACTTCCTTTGAAGGTGGACTTAAAATACCCATCAGACATGCATCTGACATGTTTAGTTTATTTTTACAGCTGTAAAATATACAGCTGTTATACAGAATTCTTAATTCTTCTTAAATATGCAGACTCTCTGAACTGCCTAGTTTCAGTGTAGGAGTTCCTAATAAAAAAAAGAGCGGAACTGAAAAGCACTCCCTTTTGTAACTGCTGGACCAGAGAATTGTTATAAATGTAACAACTTAGTTTTGTGGGGAAAATGAGTGGTTTCGTAGCACAAATATCTTTAAATGCCTGGGTGCTACTGTATTTTGTTTTCAAATGAATTTGAATTTTGAGCCGGGTTTGTGTACATTGTTTCCATTGCATATTTGGGGAGCCCTGTGTCATGAAATGAAAAATGTGAAATTCAGCAAAGGAATAGTTATGTGGATGCTGTGAAGGAGATCAGTGTGTACACAAGGAGTTTGCTGGCTTTTTGAAGAAAAGGATCTGTATCTTCCCAATGAGGGAAGAAGAATCAGAAAGCAAAGACCATAAGATATATGTAAAAGATAAACGGGGTCAAATTATGTGTTCAGTGAATAGGTTGATTGTTTTTTGCAGTTGAATATTACTGATGGTTTAATAACAAAGGACAATGCTGTCATTGTGAAGTGTCAACAAGGAACTCCTGCTTATATCATAAAGCAAGACTGTCTTTTTCAAAACATAACACAGCAAACATTTAGTGTTCTAATCATTTTTAGACTGTCACAATTTCCAAACCACAAATAATGTTTTGTGGCATAAGTTGTTGGTAAAACTGCAGAATAATGTTCTTTGACAAATGTTTACTATTGAAGTTTCAGCAGTGGACCAGTTGCATAGGAACACCTGCAAGTATTTTTATTCACTGTGATGAAATGAGACATTTTACTGTCTGAAGCAGTGCTACTTATATGTTTACTTTTTGTGAAGTATCAAAAGCTCAAAACGTGTTCAGGTGAGTTTTTAGATGCTTCACATTAATGCTACACCATATGTAGTTGACCCTTTTTTGTATTAAACTACCAAGTGCACTTTAAATCTGTGTATCAGTGTTTTTACTTACAATTGAAACAGTAAAATGTCACATCCCTATGTTGGTTTATTTGGATAGGTTTTTTGAGCTGGATGGGTCTCTGATTTCCAAATATCTATGAGCAGTCTTCTTGAGAATGAAAAGATAGTGCAGCGATACAATATCAACTACAGAATATACTGTATGTGTCCTATTTGTAAAACAAATATAAGTTTTACACTTTTCAGCACTTTTTAAGTTTGTAAAAAATGGATATGTTTTACACTTTTTCACAATACGAAAATGACAGAGGATAGCACTGCCATCTGTGGACTCTGGAGGTAATTATGGAGGTAATTTTAAGAAATAGAATATTTAACCTTAGCTCTTAAATATTTAGTAGTGCATTTCACCCTTATAGTAAATTGTAAAGCTGATTTTCATCTCCTGCCCAATTCAAAGGACATTAGAGTCTGAGTGTGGGGTGTTTTATTTTTTTTACAAACTTAATATTGATATCAAACCATATATCAATATTAAGTTGGAATCAAACCATCAAGCACACGTTGCGAGATTAGAGTTTGGTGCACGATGGCTCCAAATCATGGTGATGAAGGGTACATTGAACAACTTACAGGAATATAACTTCTGAAGATCAATTGGCATATGTACTATATAGCTTCTGGAGGTAAGGTACTGATTTTGGCCTGAGATGGATCCCTGTCAAAAAGCAGTGGTGATAATAGCGTACAGATTGAGATATTTCATGATCCTCAGGCATCTTAAAACACTTTCTTAAATAATAATAATAATTCCTTTCGCTAATATAGTGCTTTTCTGGACACTCCACTCATAGCACTTTACAGGTAATGTGGACTCCCCTCCACCACCACCAATGTGCAACATCCACCTGGATGATGTGATGGAAACCATAGTGCATCAGAACGCTACCAACATCAGCTATCAGTGGGGAAGAGAATAGAGTGATGAAGCCAATTCATAGATGGGGATTATTAGAAGGCCATGATTGGTAAGGGCCAATGGGAAATTTGTCCAGGACACTGGGATTACACCCCTACTCTTTTCGAGAAACACCATGGGATTTTCACTGACCACAGACAGTCAGGACCTCGGTTTATGTCTTATCTGAAGGATGGCACCTTTTTACAGTATAGTGTATAGCGGCCCCTGCTGCCCCCACTAACAGCTCTTCCAGCAGTAACCATAGTTTTTCCCAGGAAGTCTCCCATCCAGGTACTGACCAGGCTCACACCTGCTTTGCAGCAGTGGGTTGCCAGTTCTGAGTTGCAGGGTGATATAGCTGCTGGCATAAGAAGAGCATGGAGTCAGGTTGGAATAAATACAGACTGGATTTGGAGTTTGGGGTAGTGTTGAGTTTTGGGAGAAATTCCATTTCCAGCTGGGGCTGGAGTTCTATAACCTGCTGAGTCTGAAGTAGTACTGGGTCTGGTGCAATCTCTCTTGACAGCGAGAGTGAGAGCTAGAATCATGGTATCATGTGAAAGGATAATGAGAAAGTGTGGAGAACTGAGATTCTTATACAAAGAGTGAGCAAAAGTGGGCAAATTTACAGTTTGACCTCCTGCCAAACTTTAATTTAAAACTCCATATGACACTTTCAAGCTATTTTTTTCACAAAAATGTAATGGAATCTATCAGAAACCCAATTTCTTTGTTCTTTAAATGTGATAAAATGCATCCTCATGAAGACTTCTCCAAAGTGTTTCTAAACTGGGTAATGTTAAACTAAAACTGAAAACGTTACGAAGTATAAAATTTGCACGACGTTTAAAAACTAGGATTTTTTTTTTTAGCATACATGATTAAAAAATAATGCCGAAAGCTATCCTAAGCAAGACTTGCATTAAAAAGCTTCAAATTAAAACCTTTCCTCCCCAAGGCTGCTGTGATTGATGCTTTCCTGGTTATATCACAATTTCTCATTCACAGCTGTTGGAAACTGAAGTTCTGCTGCCCAAGTGTCATTAAATGTTGTCAAAAGCCAGCAGGCATTTTCAAAAATAGTATTATTGCTAGAGACAAAATTAAAAAAATTTGAGTCTTTATTTTTTTATTAATCTGACATCAGCGTAAGTGTCCACAATCTCCAAATGCAAAAACTATTTCAACATGCAATGAAAAGACACAATGCAATTAATTTTTTTAAAGGGTTTCTCTGTACTTTGTACCTTCACCTTTTTCAGCAATGCAGTCCTCTTTCCTATACATTATAACCTGCTTTGGATTCATTTTAATACTGGTTGGTATGTAATGCTGAAGAAATGAGGCCTTGACAACCAAGATCTTTGTTCATTTAGGAATCTTGCAGGAAGAATGTATCCAAAACAGTTCTTTTTCTCCTTCATAAGTATGTTTAGGGAAGTTCAGTACTCAGTGTAAGCTATTATCAGGTTTTGGGCAATACCTGCAAATATCAATTAAATTACTGTTAGGTGAAATATACATATCATGCATTCTCATCTATTTCAAAGACTTGCTGTTTGTATAAAACAGCTGATGATATAGTCAAGGATCTAAAGGAATAGAACATACAACAATTTCAGTATAATCTGAAAATGTGAATACAAATATTCTACAACTAACACACAGTTCTTTAGTAAATGCTGAGATAGAGCTACTGTATAATATTTATGGTATTTTTTCCCTACATCCATGTTTCAGCTGCTTCTTCCAATTCCAGGTGGCGGGGGAGCCGGAGCCTATCCTGGTAAGCAATGGGTGCAAGACAGTATACACCTTGGATGGGATGCCAGTCCATTCCAGGAAGACAGACTTGTACACACTCACGACAGGGCCAGTTTTCCCCAAAACAACTTTACCTACCATTATGTTTTTGGACTGTGGGAGGAAACCAGAGCACCTGGAGAAAACCCATGTGAACGCACAACATAATTGTATGCAGATAGCAAATAGCACCCCACAATGCAGAACTGAACCCAGGGCCCCAGCGCTGTGAGGCAGCAATGCTAACTACTGCGCCGTTGTGCTGCCCTTGTTCTAATTTTTAAAAATGGGAAAAGTTTAAATCTTTTTTTTAAAAAGAAAGACATTTCTATTTACATTCTTACAGGTTTTTCCAATCCTACCAAAAGACAAAAAATGCACCTATGGTTTATAGCTACCACAGCGTTTCAAGAATGTGCATTCTCATTCTGCCAGTTTTGCTTATGTTAAAACATTTTTTTTATGAAATCTCTGAAATAAATACGCATATAAAAGCATAATAAATCCTCTTTTATCTATTTTTCAAATACTTAAAAATGTATAGCTGTTTTCCTGTGTCTTTCAATATGTCTTTGAGGATGTCTCTGTGAAGTGCAGTTTTGCAAAGTCTGTTACCAGAATTATCTTTAGTAACAAAAGTGAGCGCTCAATCTCTTCTAAAAGTTCTGTAAATATTTGTTTAAAACATTAAATCTATACTCATTTTGACAAACTGATTATCTCCATACATTATTACATTTCCAGTTTGGCTCTATGCTTATTTATATTTATGAAAGCTGAACAGTTCCCTTTGGAGATTATGAAGCTGTTTGGTTGATACCCTGTATGTTTATGCTATTGAAATTGATTAACTATATGTTATTAAACTCTGATTTTGTTTAAAAAACAAATGTTGTTACTGTATAGATGTAATTGTGTAAGGTATACCTGGACTATCTTTACATAACTTTGCCTTTTAGGACTCAAACGTTTAAATGGGAATGCTAATTTTATATTTCAGGGTTAGAAAGAATCACTGATGAGTGCATTTAAAAAACACAATAAAAGTAAAATGTACACAGTAACGTGTAAAACCTCCAATTTACATTATGAAATAGAGGAAATTTCCAGGTACTGTATGTGCAGTGCCATATTCTGCAATTCAAAACATTCAGTGAAGTGAAGCGGCCCTATTGCATTGTGAACAACCAGGTTTGTGAATATTGTACACCTCTTTTAATACAATAGAAATATTGCTCTTGACTTCAAGATGGTTTTGCTGATAAATGGAAAATAGGTATTAACTCTGCACGCAAATCTTATTGGAAACGTGAGACCAGGAGTTTGAGAAAACTTACAGTACTTTCACAAAGTTCACAATTTTGTGCTTAATGCAAAATTTATATTTTTTTTTCTCTGTCGTTAATGAATTTATTTTGTTACGGAGATTTAATAACCACTTGAAAAATTGGGACTGCAGTTCCCCTTTAAATGAAGTAATAATCTGTTATAAATGGACATAAAAATAGCTTTTGAAGACATAAAATGACTGCACAATGATGATTGTACCAGAATGAAACATTGCATTATGTGGTCTGCTTCCTTCTTGTCTTGTTATAAATGAAATGTATTCAACTTTTGAAAAAAGTATAGTACAGTGACTTATTTCTCAGTCTAGCACGGAGTTACAGATGTTAAAGAACATAAATGAAAAATCAGTGGTCCACAGTCCTTACAGATTTACATGGGTCATGTGGTTTAAAAAGAAAAGCAAAAAAACCCTTCTTCATTCCTTTTTATTCATTGTAATATTTCATTTGCAAGGTGCGTTCTGTGTTTTTATTGTAAGGCTTTCAGAGATGTGAAAGTACTGTTGGCTTTTCCTTGTTTGTGTGCCATCCCTCAACAGCAGAGTGCACAGAACTGGCAGCTGGCACACAACCAGGAAACATACCAAGAGATCAGTTCTGCTTTGTGGTCACACACAGTTACTTATGAGGCCTTGTTAAACATGTCATCCATTCATTCAGCTATTAATTTTTTCACAAGGACATACTGTGTCGCTATGTTTTATTTGCAATACAAATTCTTATACGTTTAGCAAGCCATTCACATATGGATGTATGGACAAGATATACCAAAACATCTGTGTCTTGTACAGAACCCAGTTTCCTGACGTGTGTGTCTGGAACAGGATGCCTAGCCATATTGTTAAAACTGTCTCTATCAGCTGTTTCAAGAAATGCTTGGATGAGATCTTGCGGTCAATTAACAACTACTAACCAAGTGAGCAAGAGGGCCAGCTGGCCTTCCCTCTCCTCTCACCAATCTGGTGGTCCCTGTGTTTCAATGTCACGGAGGTTGGCTCTGGAAAAATCCTTAGTATAATCCTTAAAGTGGTCCAAAAGAAGTATTGCTCAAAAATCTGTGCCTGTTTTAGGTTGAATATTTCAGTTTGAACAGGCAGTATCAGTGAATGTGAATGAAGTATTGGTCCTTATCTAAACACATTTCAGGAGTATTTCTGTATGCAAGTTCTACTAAACTTTGCATACTATTTGTCTTTTAGACTTCCATTCATCTGTCCATTTTTTAACTGTTTCTTCCAGTTCAGGATTGCGAGGGGAGCTGAACCCTATCACGGCAAGGAATGGGCACAAGGCAGAGTACACCCTGGACAGGACATCAGTCCATTGCACGGTAGAAAGAAGCACACAAATTTTCAGGGCCAATTTTCCCAGAAGCTGAATGATCTACCAGTATGTTTTTGGACTGTGGGAGGAAACCGGAGCACCTGGAGGAAACCCATGCAACTCTGGGGGAGCAAACTCCACACAGATAGCAACCCAGGAATTGAACCCACAACCCCGGCGCTGTGCCACTCTGCTTCCCTTTGATACTTTTATTTTCCAAAATAAAGCAAATTTTAGTGGATTGCAGATAAAACTATTATAGGCAGGTAATTTCCATATCCAAGCCACATTAATTTATCTGGCCAAAACTTAGCAGACTAGAAAGCAGGATCCCCCTGGGGTGTGAGATTACCCCAGCAATGATGGTGTCCACTTATACAGTGGGGTGGTGCAATTAGGGGTAAAGTACCTCACTCAATTTAAAACAGTAGTGAGACCCACAATCCAGACATTTGCCTGATACACTACTGCTCCCTAATATTATCATAGAAGTTTATTTTGTGACTTGGGAAGGGTTTAATCCACTTCTTCCAGGAGGCTCTGATTTTGTATAATAAAAGGTATTTTGGAGTATTTATATTAAATTAAGAACTGTAAGTGTTGTTTATTTTTTCAGCAACTTTAATTTTCTTTTACCTCAATATTTTGTGTTAGTTGCAAGAATTTAAAAAAATTGCAAAGTACTGAGCACTGTTGCTTTTTTCAGTGGATGGAAATCATCTTTTTGTATATCAGTATCAGAATTTAGTTTATTGTCCACACAGAGTGGGATTTTTCCATTGACCTCACTGAGACAACAAATGCAGAAAACATAAAACATCTAATGCACTGGAGTTGTATACAATAAATCCCACATAAACAACAATACAATAAAAAACATATAAGATTCAAATTTGTCCATACATATAAATATACTGTAAATACTGTGCTCTGAAGGAGCTCATACATCAGAGTTTAAAAGAGTAATGACACTCTGAGCAAATGAGTTCTTAAAAATGTGTTTTTGTTGCCTTCAGGATTCTAAACTGTTGACCAGATGGTAGTTTTTCAAACTAAGAGTGTAGTGGGTGTGAGGCATCATTTACTTTTCCTGCAAACACTCTTTGTATACAAGTGGTTCATCTGGTTCCATTTCTGAACAATACTTTTGCTGCTCATATTTATAATCCTTCAGTGCCTAGCTGTACACCTGGTACCAAGAATCCCATACCAAGTAGAGATGTTAAAAGAGAGCACATTCCCTCCCAGACTTGTATAGACTATCTTTGGATGTGCTTGCTTTCATCAAAGCTCCTCAACCTTCTCAAGAGAAATAATCTCTGCATGGGTTTTTTTTTTTAAAACCATGCTCTGTGTTGTCTAAGAATTTTAGTTTGTTATCAGTGTACTGTATGTACCCAGATACTTAAAAGGAAGAATGTCCACAAGCTGACAATTTATATTTATAGGCTGAAGTGTGGCTGGCTCAAATCTGCCTAATTACAAATTGGTGTAGCACTAATTCTTTTGTTTTGCTGACATTTATTTCCAAAGTGCTTGACTGGCTCCACTTAATAAGAGTTAATACTTTGTCAAAGTAAAGTGGTACTGAAGAGAAATATGAAACATACTTCTCATCCCCACCTACAAGTAACACAGAAACAAACAAAAAAAACATTTGAAATACAGGCTTTTTCTGTTGGCTTTACATCTAAAATATTTTAAATATTTATATCATAATGTATTTTATTGGGATTTTTGCCACAGATTTACACAAAATACACTATAATGTCAAAGTGAATACAAAGTTCTCTCCTAACCCTCCTACATTAACTAGAAATATACAACATAAAATATCCGATTATTACATTCTGTCTATTGACATCAAATTTAAGACAGGGTATAGTCCTATAACTCATTGACTGCTGAAACACTAGCAACATACAGAACACAATGCAATAAAAATGGCCCACTCTGCTTGTAGTTGTCAATGGTTAACCTAAGTCACTGACTGAAAAATTTCAACTCAGCAATAATTTATGTGGGGAGGTGAATGAACAGCTGTTCAAGAGAACAGCAAATAGATGCTACTTTACAGTAGCATGCTTACTATCAATGTACGGTACAGTAGACGGGGCTTGACAGCAATAGTTTCTAGGTAAGTATCACCAAAAGTGAAAATTCATAAAGACAAATCATCTGAAAAACTGTGAGTCAGTCGAGTTGGTAGTGCTATGAGCCTTCTAAAAATGTATTACAATGATGGGATTAGTTTATACAGCAGAAAAGCAAAATCTCCATGGTAGCTTAAAGTACAGCAGTGCCTCCTGTGTGAAATTAAAAAATAGATAAAGCACTTAATGGCACAAAAGTAGTAAGTAGAAAAGAGGTGCACAATTATAAAAGCCTCCCTTAAACTACAATAAGCATGTGCAGGGGTGCCCCTAGCAGTCTTCCTTGGGGGTGCAGCAAAGTCTTCAGTTCTACATACTATAGATGCACCTCATCCTATCTTGTACATGTTCACATAAAGTAACCTTATCAAGCCCACGTCTCAGTATTGCACACTTCTCAAATGATACACATTTAGCAATATTAATATTGCAATTACAATGTAGCCTTTTGGAAACAGTAATAAGCCTCCTACATTTGATGCAGTACAATTAAGGTAGTACTAAATGCAGTAATGCTGTAGTGTAAATAACTGCAGGCTTACAGAACTGTCACTCTGTTGTAACTCTACAACACTACTTCAATACTGCAGTTTCTATTCTTTTTATTGTACAGTGACTTGTTTTATAGACATAGCTTATTAAAAGCAATTACATTGAAAATGGCACTAGTGAATACATATTTAGAAAATATTTAGAAAAATATCTATTCAGAAAAAAACGAATTAAAATTATTTTCTCTTGAAATTTAATGATTCAAGAAGTTGTTCTGTTAAAGATTTTCGTGCTGCACGTTGTCTTGGATAATGTCTTCCAAATACAACAACGACAGTATAGTAATAGAAAATCTTTAAGCAAAAAGGCTACCTTAAAGCTATTGACTACACGGCTGCAAAAGAAGAACCTAGCAAACTTCAGAGAAGTCGCAATCCCCTGAGAAGCAGTTATTGATGGGTCTCTCCGCGACTGGCTGGAACCAGCTGCCCGGGTTTAATGGTGTTTCCAGTAGTACAGTAGTGAAACGAGGTAGGATGAGCGCCGCCTGGCAGTTCGCACATGCTCAGTGTGTGTGCAGGCAGGCAGTGACGACACGGGCGCCATATTGAAGTGCTGATTTTTTGTCTCGGACGCTGCTTGCCAGCTTTCTGTTTCCTGTTGGATTCAGGAGGAGAAAGAGACGGAGTGAAGAGCTTCAAACATTTCACGCCACAATCATGGAAATCGACACACTTCTGGAGGCCCTGAAAGGTTGTGAAACGTAGACGTTACTGTCTTTTTCGTTCCGGCATTCGAAAAAGTGTGAATAGAAGTGGTCGGAACGGGATTAGGATTGAAGAGTAGTAAGGTGTTGAATGTGGCTGTTGTTGTGTGTGCAATTTTAGAATAAATTTAACTAAGGGCTATTTGGATACCTTATTATACACTTTAAAACAATAGTCTTCTCTCAGGGAAGTGTTTTGAATCGTTTTGGTGTAGTCTAGTTGTGTTATAATGTGCACTTTTAACCCCAAGCCGGTAACCAACGTTTGTAGCTGTTGTAAAACTACATGCTCAAATTCAAACATTTTAACTTTAATCGTGTGTTTTTCTTCATGTTGCGCCGGGAAAGTTTGAGAATTTCCTGCAGACAGCTGATCCTGATGTGGAGTTTTATTTTGCTAGTTCCTGTCAGTGGCTGTAACTTTCCTTGCAGCATACGGTTAACAGACACCTAGGCTGTGTGGGACCCAACTGATGTGGCTCTTACTTTTCCCCCTTTATCTGTCTTTATGTGTAGATTTTGAGAAGAAAGGCAAGAAGGATGTGTGTCCGACGCTGGACCAGTTTCTATGTCATGTCGCAAAGACTGGGGAGACCATGTAAGTATATTTACTGACGAACCGCACGCAAGAGGCCTAATGTGTCTCAGGAGTAGAGTAACAGACATGGTAACGACTGTCTCCCCAACGGGGATCGAGAGAACTGCAGTTTGGATATACATGTCTCATGTCTGTAGTAACCTAGACTACTGCTGGCTTACTTTGTATCAGAAATATCTGATCAAATTAGTCTTTGAAGAGGACAGCCTGCTGAGAACACCGCTATATACTTCTAAAGGGATCAGGGGAACCTCTGGTTTTAAACACCTGTTAGCAAAACAGGACCGTATAAAAGCAGATGTGTAGTTATGTGAGCAGTTAGAAATTAAACAATATATGGCACAATAGTCGTTTAATTTTGTATCTGATGCGTGGTAGGTGGGAGAAATGCTGATTCAAGTGTAGTTTTGTTACAGTCTTTGGATAAAGATATTGATCAGTGCCCTTCGATTTAAGTTTCCGTGCTTCATTTAGATGGAGGAATCCTAGCATTGTTTAATTTCTCACCTGAAGGAGAGAATATTTTATTGCTTGCAGTGATGTATTGCAATATGTAGAATATATGAAAATATGTGTTGGAAACAAGTTTTTAATGCACGTCTTAATGCAGTCTTTATTTAGAGCACTTTCCAAGTGAAAAACAACTCCTTACACTCTGCAATATTACACATTGCACCAAGCTGACCTTTTTTGTATTTTATGGTAGTGTTTTGGTTTAAGTCACGGTGTTGCACTGACTGTGACCTTTGCATTGTGTGTGCACTTTTGTTCCTCTTATTTCATTGATGCCCCTCCTTCCTAGATTTGAACAAATATATAGGACATTTTTTGCTCTTTCATCAAGAAGCTAGTATGGCTAATACACTTGATATTGTGCTTAACAAGGGATTTAAATATACATTTTCCCTTAAAACACCCCTTAATCTATCATCATGCCCAAAGTGTTTTCTTAATTCCTGAAATTGAAATTGGAAGTGAAAATAAACTTGGCTTTACAAAACTGGAATTTTAGATTTTCTATTTTTTTTTGGCCCGTTTACGAAGCTGAGGTGGATCGGTGATCTGTTCAGTGTTATTTAACAATCTGGTTGTAAACTTTACAACAGCTGAACTGGGGCATATGAGCTGTCACTTTAGACATTTTAATTGGGTCAAATTTGAAATTTGTTTATTAATCGGTGAAATAAGTTCCAAAATATTTAAGCAGATTGTGGTGCTGTTACTAAGTCACTGATGATTTACACTAAGCCATGTCCATGTGTAATTATTAAACAACTGTAAGTAAAGGGAAATAAATATAAATTTTGTGTTGGTGACCCTGGTTTATTTGTTATGTAAGGCATAGTGAATTTTATGATTAAGATTGCAAAAGTAGCATATTGTGTTTTCTGAATACTTTTGAATAAAATTCAAAACCAGGCCTTAGATTGCTGTTAATTGCATCTCAACTAATTCGTGTGAATATTTAAAGCATTTTAGATGCTTCTCGTTATCTACATTTGTAAATTATGCCTTATTAAATAGTTAAAACTAGTTTAGTATGCTGTAGTTCTGTAAAGTAGACTTAAGTCACACTTAAGCAAATTAACTCAAGATTTATATTAACTTATTATTGTACCTTTGATCAAGTTTTCAGACCATTTTAGTCCTCATATTAGGATGAATGCGTTATAGTGAACAAAACTAGTGTAATGCCTTTTTTTAAATTAAACTGTATAGGCCTAATTATAGGCCTTTCAGTTAGGTTGATATATGTAGCAGCGTAGCAGTAAAGTGAGCTGCTTACATAGTGGACTGTAGATGTATATCCATATAGGTAAAACAATATAATAAGCAGAAATCTGGCAGTCCTTTTTAAAGAAATGCAAATGGCAGTTTTTGTTAGACATTGACCGTTTTGTTTTGCAAGTCTTTGTGGAGAGTTAATTATATAGCACACTTTACACATGTTATTTTGTTTGCAATTATACATTCCTTAATATATAATTCCATGTGTTTTGATGATTTTCAAGATTTCACTCTTATAAAAATCTTGTTCATAAACAAGAAGTTTGTCTCAGAATGAATAGCAAGTCAAAATACACAGAACTGTCCTGGATTTTATTGTCTAATACAACGATGTTTGGTTCGTCCAAGTGTGTTGCAAAAAACATTTTCTGACTGTACAGATGTAAAAAAAAATACACTAGGATTATTCTGAGGATTACATTGCATGTAATTGGAAGGTCCTGCCTTTGGTTTAGAATGCAGGCCATCTTGATAAATGTTCATAGTGGAAACAGAATGTTCTAAACGCTATGATTTTTGCACTTGTAATGTTTAGAACAATTTTCAGCTTGTGTTTATAGAACTTTTTATCTGAGACCGAGGCTTTCAGCCCAACACTTTTTGACACAAATGGAGAACAGAAGGGTTTTCCACCAAAAATACTGTAACAGTACTGTTCATGGGTCAAAAACAGGTATTTGCATGTGATGAAAATGTAGTTAAAACTACAATGCATGCTTCCAGTATCTCTTTATTCCTGTCATTCCCTAATCAAATTTTTCACGTTAACATGCCAATTTAAAGATCAAAGAAAATTAATATTGTGTTTTAAAAATTACTAACTAGGCAGATATCTGTGATCATCTCTGAAATCAAATGTAGGTGATGAAATCCATGTGGTCAAGGGATTCTGTAAGTGTGGCAGTTGTGAATGTAACCTTAAGGGGATCCAAAATTCAAGAACAGCAATATTGTTAATATTTTAATATTTTCAATATTAAAAAAAATTGGACTTGTTTTTTTTGTCTAGTGTCTTTTTCAACTTTTTTTCAGATCCACAGATTTGGTTCTCGTTAGCAGTTGTTTTTTTCGTGTTGTAGTGATAATGTACAAAATATTGTACTCCACCAGGCCGAAACAGTGATAAACAATATGAAACCACTATTGCATATTATTCTTGAACTGTTAATGTGTACAAGATTGTTTTCCCCATGTAGAAATATTTTCAATATGTTCACCATTTGCTTAGAGAACTTGAGCATCTTATTTTTAGGATCTGGTGTTTTTCCAAGAATTATGCAATACCTATTGTGTCTCTGAATATCCCTCTTTTTCAGTCTGAAATTGTTCATGGCTTATTTTTCTTTTGGGTTGTATTCATAAATCTTTATCGTATACATTTACCACTTATTTAGAAATATAAGAACAGACCTAATATTACAACATATAAGTAAAACATTTAAATCTAGTTATATAAGTTTTCATTTTTTTACCTTTTTTTTTGGGGGGGGGGAGTTTTATGAATATAGTCCATCTGTCTTTTAAGGTATTATCTCACGAAAAGTCACACAGAACTGGTTAAAGGAAATGACAGCCTAGATAAACTAACCAAAGCGTCTTCTGTAATGATCTTAATTGTTTAGACTTTTTAACATAGCCCATGCAGAAATTGCTCTTCAGACTTACTGTTACAATGGTACCTTCAAGAATGTCTTCTTTGAATGCCCTGCTATATGTCTTAAGTATTTCAGTCCCATACAAAAAAGCATTTGAAGTGTTTCAGCTTAGATTTGTATCAATTTAACTTTGAAATGTTTTTGAAAGGGTGGCGCAGTGGTTTGCATTGCTATCTGGCAGCACTGGGTCCCTGGCTTCATTTCCTGACTTGGGGTGCTATGTGTGTGTGTGGAATTAGTATGTTCTCCCTTTGTTTTCGTGAGTTTCCATGTGCTCTGGTTTCCTCCCACAGTCCAGAGACATAATGGTAGGATAATTGGCTTTTTTTTAAAATTTGGCTCTGGAGTGAGTGTGTTTGTGTCTTTTTGTATGCCCAGCAATGTTCTGGCATCCCATTCCATGTGTATCCCACACTTATTACTTTCAGGATAGACTCTGGCTCCCCTGAATTAGATGAAACCGTTAGGAAGGTTAGACGGATGTTTTTGGTAGGTTGTGTAGAAGTGTAGAACAACCTTATTGTCTGAGGATTTGCCATTAATACTATACCGCATCATTTGTTTTCCCCATTCAGTTGTTCTTGCAGAACTAGAGAACATGGCCTGGGCAAGCTTGGTATCTTACCTAAAGTTTGACTAGTAGAATAATTTCAGCTTCGAACACGTAACATCAGATGAAGGTACATTTAATGGTTTTTCAACGATGTCTCTGCATTCTATTATTCATAAACTAGGAAGGATCAGAAGGGGTGGGGGTTTTTGTTTACAGCCACAGATACAATAAACACAGTTACTATGGCACTGTGTGGGATATTTATTTCTAAGCACTGAAACTCAATTATTTGAATGTGAGTGTTTTATGTTAGGAAAGATTCTTAAAAACTGAAATATGTTGTTCTAACATAAAACACTGTCACATTCAAAACAAAATTTCAATGTAGGATTTGTAATTCAGTAAAATGAGAGAATTGGTCAAGAGTCTGAATACCTTTGCAAGGTACTGTATCTAGAACGCTAATTACCCTGTTGCTTAAACATACTGTGCTATATTTGTTGGCTTTAGGTTGTTTGAATTTATTTTGTTTCCTTTGTCTGAACACTGGCACTTGTGTATCCCCTTAAGCATAAGGAAATATAAAAAAATATATTTTCATTTTAAGACATTAATGACATTCAATTAATGAAGAAAGAAGTTTATAAATTCTATAAGGTTTTTGCATCTGTGGTGGATTTATTCAAAATTCATGAATTCCTTACTAACCTGTTTTGCAAATCAGTGCTTTGTGATGTTTGAACAAGTATGTTCTCCACACTGATTAGTTTAAATGCTGTGGCATACCTGACCAGAGGAAAGAAAAGTAACTTGGGATTGTTCTTTGTAATGAAATTTAAGATGTCGCTTGTCTATAGTACAGATAGTATAATCAAAGCTCACAGTTCAAGGGTTTTCCTTTTGCTTTTTTAAATATTTGTTTGTAACTAAATTTAATTTGCATGTTACATTTTTAAGATCAAAGTGCATCAACTTACCAAAGTGAAAGCTTTTTTGTTTTACCAAACCATACTAGTTGGCAGCATATGCAGTGCTGTGGCATTATTATTCCAGTTCTGGACATTGCACTTCACTGTGTTATTTGGGTTGACTTTACTGACATCTATTCATTTATATCCTTTAGCTATATGTTCATATTTAATTTTCTTTACCGATCTCAATGGCTGATAAGCTATTGTGGCCAATGCCAATATTAAGCACAAGACTAGAGCATGCATGATTTTGTTTCACTGACAAAGTAAAATAAGGTCTAAATGTTAGTGCACTTCAGTTTTGGCATTCAGTATTATTTATCATTTTTGTAAATTAAAATAAAAGCAAATATGTACAATTAACTTTGAATTGGCTTATGGGGAAATGTTTGTATTAGCATAATGCATTATATTATATAACATACATTTAAATGGTATGTTTGAAACATGAAAAACAGAAGACCTTTTTGCAATTCATACACCCTGTAAGATACAATTCAAGAGCTGAATTACAGAAGTAAATTTTTGTGGTAGTTTTTCTAAGAATGCATATACTTTTAAGTAGATGATGCAGATTAGTCATTGCTCCTACCCGTGTTAAGTAGTTATTGAGTTACAACTGGTGAGTGGAAGCAGGAAAAGTGCTAGAATCACTTGCAGTATTTGCAAACCTTCATGCAGGTTCAGCATATGGAGCTGGAATGAGCTAGAAGACATGTTTGTCAAACTTGGTATTTGCTTCTTCCACTTTCTTCCCAAAAAGGAACATAACTGCACTCTCAGTTTTAATGTTCTTTGCAAAAGATAATTCAGCTGTCAAGTCTACATCAGATCAAGTAGCTGACAGAAAAACTCAATTACTTTTTGCAACATATCAATTGCAATTCCCATCTCAAATATTTCCATTTCCATTATTAATAATTGCTTCCCAAATCATTTAATTGCATATTAAATATGTCAACACCAAATCCATGGAATATTCCAAAAAGTGTTTTATTAAAGCAACATTCTATATCAATAGACCCACCTTAATTTTGCATCTTAATTTATTGTAGTTTGACTGTCTCATTTTGCTGGAAAAATACCTGAGTTTTTTTCGGCCTGCGGAGCACAGTAATTTGAGTCATTATGGATCATTTGAGCAAAATTTTCTGGCACAGTCCTCACACATTTCTGGATGGCATAGGATGACCTCATACTGTCTTAACACAAGACTAATTGTTGAATTGCTAAATATAACAATAGATGTAATGAAAGTTTGATATCCCTATAATTAGCTGAAAAGCAACATATTCAGTTGTCTCAATTATTTAATTTCCAAACTTTTTGACTGATCCTACAAAACTACTTTTGTATTCATGAATGTTTCATTACTTTTAAATCTAAATCACTCAAAACTTAAAAGATTTCAAAAGGGACTCTTCTGTGTATGTTTCTTGAGACAAAACCATGTTTTCCCATACCCTGTTATTTCTGTTGTCCCTAATTTAATGGAGAAGACCCAGCATTATCTGAATAATAGGGAAAGAGGGGGTTCATGTTGAAATTAGCCGTGCATGCATTCTCTGTGCTGGTTTGGTTATAAGTGGAGACAATGGTTTCCATAGGTAAAAAGCGTGCAAGTGAGACAATCGCACCTAAAAAATGCATGTGGTGTTGGCTTACGCCTTGTCTGATTACATGTTTAGAGCACAGTGTTAGGCTGGTGTAATGAAGCTGTGAAGTATAAATGTGGTGTGCTGGTGTTGTATTGGTCCTGTCTGAGCTATTTAACCTTCATTGGTCTATATCCATAGAAAATATCGAATAGGGTCAAATATCGTAACCTTATGGGAACAAATATTGAGGTATACATTTAAACTAGTTACTTACAGATCCCCACGACTGAACGTTGGTGCCAATGTAGCACTATTCATATTCACATTTTTGCATGCCCCAAAGCTTCCATACCACAAGCTCATTTGCGTTTTCACACGATATGTGGTTTTCCGTTTGAATAGGGGTGGGGTTTACGGCACTCATCGCTTGTTTGAGGTTTGCTGTCCTTCTCTGTTTTTTCACCCATAGTACTGTTTTTTTTTCCCCTTTTGTTGTGTGAACATTGCCAATTCACATGGCAGTAACTGAAAAGTTTAATCTAAGTGCCAAGTTCAGAAATCCAAAAGGCTGCTTTTTCTCAGAGGTGTACATTTTTGACTACTAGAAATGTATTGGATTCTCTAACTTAAAAAAAAAATAACTTCATGGATCTGTTTCATAAAGTGCTCGGCTACATAACTTTCTACATCTTTTCTACGTGTTTGACTTCTGTGTTCAGCAACGTTGTTTAAGCTATCCTGAAGATTTTCTTGCAAATCTGTGAGCAGAGGTATTTGTGACACTTAACGTAAAATGTATTTTTCCCTCTAAGTGGTTAGTAAAGGTTTTAGTCACTAATGTGCACTGTCCATGAAAAGCAGCTGGCAATCATCATTTGGATGATTTCTCAAAAAATCAGTTTTAGTATCTTTCATGTGCAGTGGTGTCTCCCATAAACTCTTCCTATTTTGGTGGCTTTTTAAAAATAACTATTCAAAGACTTGGATCACTTGCCAAAATAAGCTCCTGTTTCTGTAGCAAGTGTTCTACCTGTGTAGATAGCCCAAGATGAATAAGAGCTTGCTATAGCTAATGGTTTGTTTCCTTTTTGAGAGATAGTTGCAACTGGTTTTGAGAGTACAAAGTGTATTTTTTTTAGCCACTGGTGAGGGAAATAATGATTAGTCATATCTGCTGCCTGTATTCTATATGTGCCATTTTTGTGATTCTCTTGGAAGGGTGGCTTACTCTGATGACTGCTTTTATCATCAGATACTTGAAAATATTTCCACACTGTGCTCTTTGGAGTCCTGTTTACAGTAGGTTCCTCCTATTGCACACTGCACCATGGTAAGCACACCAGGCAGAAAATTAAATTATATATGCAAGGATAAAATGAAACAGTGTTATAATTGAACAACATTTATCAACTGTGTAGTTTTTCCTTGCCTTGACTTCATGCTATTATTAGTATTATTATATCAGTACATCCCATAGCAGTTATATGTAATTCTGATTAAGAAATGTTGACAGTGGTATGAATGAAAGAAAGTTGTATGATTCAAGTGTTTCTTAAATGATTCTCATTCTCTGATGACCTTATAGGAACCATATAAAGATACGACTGGAACAGTTGAAAGCCTTGCTCAGGTTTCAGAAGTGAATGCAAAAATAACCATTAATGGAAGTTTATATAATAGATGTATTAATACCTGATGAAGGCTCAGCGTTGTGTTTTTTCTCTCTTCTTTTTTTCAGCATGGAATAAACCTATTACTTGTTCCTTTGCAGCCTGCACATGCTGACGTAGCTACCCACCTGATGTATTAATATATGTTGAATTATTTTTCATTATATTTAAGTTGTGTTGGGTTTGACATTTGTATAGATCAAAATAATGCTTAGTGCATCATCCCACAAGTATGTACTTATGCTCTCCACTTTAGGATTCAGTGGTCACAGTTCAAGAGCTATTTCCTCTTTAAACTGGAGAAAGTGATGGATGATTTCAGAGCTTCAGCCCCTGAACAGCGAGGACCTGCTAACCCCAATGTAGAGTACATTCCCTTCGAGGAAATGAAGGAAAGGATACTCAAAATAGTCAACGGATACAATGGGTAAGTAATTGTGGCACTTAGTAGTCCTCATTTGGTCTCTGCAAGTTTTTTTTGTCTTCCAGAAATATATCACAAACCCTGGATAAGCTCTTGTATGTGATTTGCCTTGTCTAAAGATGTTGTATCATGAAGCAATACTGCCATCTAGTGTAATTAAAAGGTATGCCATGAGATTTATCAATTTAAAATGTAACTTGTATCCATAGAGCTCTGTTTGTACATTTCCACCTCCCTAAACAGGGGCTTATGTTCCTTTTTTATAAAGAGGTGCAATTACTAAAAAATATTTGTATTCCTTTTGTGTTTTAAGGATTCCCTTTACTATTCAGCGCTTATGCGAGTTACTGACTGAACCCAAGAGGAATTACACTGGCACAGATAAGTTTCTCCGTGGTGTGGAAAAGGTAATTATCATTGCCCTTACTTCAGAAGCATTTCAGTCATTTTTAGAAATATGATTTGTAGAAATCTGTAGAAAAATGTTTTTTCCTTTTATTTATACTATCACAACCTATTCAAGAAAAACTACTTCGGCAATAAACAAAACAAGAAAAGGACCTGATCAGATATGATCTAGTAATATTTCAGCATGAGACGTACCAGCATATTAGTGCACCATGACTTCAGAAGGACCTATGTAGAGAAGAAATTGATCTATTGTACTTAATATATACTTTTCTTGCTCTTTAAGCACTTCAATAAATTGAAAAAAGTAATAAAAATATTACCAGTATTAATTCACTCATCTAATAGAAAAATGTGGAGGTGAACCATACTCTTTGGCCTCTGTCACTACTTCTAGTTAAACCTTTTTTCTAACAGTCTTTTTTGCTTTGGATCCATTGTGTTTGCACGCAACAAAAAATGTCAACATGGAATAATACAAAAGATGCAACTTTCCTAGCTGTGGCTTAGGGCTACCAGCAAATCTTTTTTTCAAGAGAAAACTAAATTTGTTTCATGCAGTATCAGTTTATATTTACAGACTTTGTACATTATTTCAAGTCCTATATATTCACCGTGTCCAAAAAATGTCTACCTCATACCGTTTGAGACTGATTTTAAAAGTTTCATTGAGTATTACTGGTATTTATAATTTATATCACAAACCATTTGGTGTATAAAACAGTGATTTTAGGACCATTTTCAAGGGGGGGATACTGTGATTTAAAAACGAGCAAACAGGGAACTTTACCTGCAGTTTAAGGATCTTATTCAGAAAAAATATTAGTTCCTATATCTTAAACTACACATAGCTGTAGGCTCCTGAACAGGTCAACTAGTAAAAGCGTTTCTCCGAGTGCAAGTTGAGGTCTGAAGTTTAGGGCTTTTGGGTTGAGCCTGGTTTTATCTCAGTCACCAGCTGACTGGGTTTCTCTAAACAGAAGTGCATGATTGGCTGAGCTCTGCCAAGGGAAGAATAAGGATTAGTCTGCCAGGATCTCTGCTCTCTCGGACCTGTGCTACCTCCTGGGTAGTTGTAAGTGAGGAACACACCTCTCCTCCTGTCAGCTCTGAACCTCCTTCATGAAGCTGTGCTGTGTTAAAAGATAAAAGCTTGAAGCTGGCCAATGTTAAAGGACTCAAAGGTTGGCTTGCACTTCCTCCTTCTCCTCTGAGTGTGGTGGCAGGGTTCAGGGCCATGATAGATGTACCACTGACAATTTCAGATTGGGTGAGTTTCTAGCAAAAATAATTTAGCAATTCTAAATAAAAAATATATCTATATCTGGGACACGAATATTGCTTGGATTAGTTGTTTAGAAAATTAAATATTTACAAGTGTTTTGTTCTGTTCTTTACTTTTAGAATGTCATGGTTGTCAGCTGTGTATATCCAACTTCAGAGTAAGTAAACCAGACAATATGTAAAGAAACCTTTGCAGTGGATTTTGAAATTCAGTTTTTTTTGTAACAGAGTTTTATGTCGACTTTAACTCCCATTAAACTGTTAATTGAGGTGTTTGGGGGAATTCATTATTCCAAGTTAATAAAAAATGTACTCATCTGTACATTGAGGATAAATTCAATTAATAACTTTTCTTTGCTATAGGAAAAATGGATCCAGTAGCTTGAGCAGGATGAATGGTGTCATGTTTCCTGGTAATTCATCTGGTTATTCAGACAGGTAAGATTGTAATAGGATATACTGTAGCTCTACAATATTTTGTAAATGGATATCAAGCTGTTTGTAAGTATATTTTGTTTATAAAACAAGTTTTTAATTAGTGTGGCTTATAGAGTAGAACTATAGTTTTTTTTTTTTAGAATATGGTAGTTTGATTAGCTAACAATCTAATTGTTGTAGGATGGTGAAAAAAGTTTTCAGTATACTATAGTAGTACATTCATGTAAGCTAGTTTTAAGTGTATGAATATAAATTAGTTGTGTGAAAGTTTGGACTGCATACACTAGTAGTTTTACATTTTCCTTTTTGGTTTAAGGAATGTAAATGGACCTGGAACACCAAGGCCGATGAACAGACCAAAGCTCTCTTTATCAAGTTCTTTAGCAACAAATGGTTTACCTGACAGTACGGAAAACAAAGAGCCTACAGCAGAGCAGGCAGATGGCAAGCCTCACAGGTATTTGTTTAGATTTCTTTCAATGGCATTTCTATGTTTAAATATCTGAGCAGTAGAAACCAATGAGATGTATGGTGCTTCTGTGATGTGGCAATATTTTGCATGCCAGACTCTCAGAATAGCTTCAAAGAAACTACAGGCATCTCCAGTATAATTCAGCGCCTTTACAGCTGGGATAGGCATGGGTTGACTTGTCTTGACAGGGTATCATGGAGAAATCTTCATTGTGGCTTCTTGCTCTCTGAATAGAAGATTGATTTGTTATTGGTGCCCCCACCCCACCCCCTAGCTATCTTAGTTTACATACTAGTACAGTAATCTGTCTTCTTATTGCAACTAATCCTGAGCAAAACATTTGTCCTCAACAGTTAATTTGATTCGTCAAAGATGTAGGCTACCCTTGATGCTGCCTGAGGAAGAGCATTGTGCTTGAAATGCATTGCTAATTGTTATTGTCTGTATGCGTCAAGCCATCATTGTTCTTTTTGCTATTGAGGTACTGTTTATTTAACACTTGTTGAGGCAATGAGTCTTTTCTGCACTTTCAAAATTAAGTGGCAAGTAATGAAGGTACAAAGTATTTGGCTGTAACCCGATGATTCTGCTCCGAAGAAACCATCTTTTTCTGCCTTATTAATCTCTCTCTCAAGGGTCCCAAACCCTCATGCAAAAGTAAAAAAAAAAATTTGATAACCTACTATATGTATCAATGCTCTCTTTTATTCGTTTTATTTACCAAAAACACATGAACAGAATTGCAATTCTCCACAACAGTTTCAGAATTTTGCATTCAATCCTTTTTTATATCAGTCTAGACTTGATGCAAGTGCCTGAGATTTTCAGACAAAAGCAGGAGGTTGATATTTGGTATGAGACTTGAGAGCTATGTTATTATGTACCATTGCATAATAAAAGTGGCTGCAGGCTGACAATTGATCTTTGGTGTATTAGTATTAAAACAGTATTCCAGTATGGATTCTTGTCTACATTCTGTTTGGCGCTCAAGCATTTGTTAGCCAGGGCAGTGCCAATTTGCTGCCAAGTGGCCCAACTAGCCTGTATAAAGCTGCGGGAAACCTTGGCCTTTGTAAATATGTGGTATTGTAAAAGAAGTGCTCTAACAGTACTTGGATATGATCTTTCTTTTCTTTTAAGCGAGTCACCAACATCAGAGGGAGAAAACACTCTGGGTAGTCCTGTGAAGAACAAGTATCTTGAGGAGGAGGAGGACCCGATGGAGGCAGAGGGTCACGAAGTGAAGAGACTCAAGTTTGACCAGGAGGAAGAGGCGCTGCGGCCAGCTGCTGCTGAGAGCACTGCGGAAATGCCAGAGGAGGCCGAGTCGTCTTCAGAAGCGCAGGAAGGAGAGAAGGAAAGCAGCAGGGATGCTGAGCTTCAGTCTTCTGAAGAACAAGGTACTGTTGCGTTAAGAAAATTCAAAGTAAATTTGGCGCCTATTGCTGTTCATTGAAAAATATTTTTCAACAGCCGAAATAGCTTTGCTCCCATTTTTGATTCTGATTTAAATTATATGTGCTGCTGGAAGTAACTTTAAGTGCCTAACAAACCTCCAGTAAATCAATATGCGATTTATGTTGTTGTTTGTCCTATAAGTACTATACGTTCCTTAAATGCGTGTTGCTGTGGAAACACTGTTCTCTTCCATTGTCAGGCTTTACTTGTTTTTCAGGATTTAGAAATATTGCATGCTCGCCTGGTATTAAGTTCTTGCAATTGTTTTCATTGTGCTGAGAAAACTCTTCAAAACAAGGCAAATAAAGATAAAAGCACTTAGTTTTAAGCATTATATTTGAAAAGTTTCAATATTTCTCATTTTATAAATTCTTGTGAAGACGTTTAGTAAGTTTGTTCATTTTCTTACATCTGCAGCAAATCACGTGTTTGTATGTACATGTACAGTTCTCAACTTCTGCTTTTGGAAATGTACTTGAAACTCAGGACAATTGTGAAGTAAATTTGCTAGTGAAGCAACTTAAAGGTGAAATACAAACTGTCTAAATTGCTACCATGATGAGAACGTTAATGAAAATGTTATGTGATGTAATGTGAAGTTTGCAGATACAAATGTATCTTGCTGTTAAAGTATAATTAAGGATAGCCTAAATACTGAAATGTGGAAACACTTAATAAAGGTACACTGTAGAAACTGAGTGAAAATAAGAACAAAAATAAAGTTTATGGCATAGAAAAGCCTGAGCTAGATTGCTTTTGGCAGTAGGTGTGACCCAAACCACAACTGTTGGTACAGCCTTCCTTCATGATAAGTGCTATATAATAGCTTGCCAGTTTACTAATTTACCTCAGGTGAGCATTACATTTTCAAATGAGTCTTGTTTTCTACATTTTTAGAGCCTTCAAGTACACAGACTGAAACCCCAGCAGGGGAAAGCACTGTAGAGAATGCTGAAAAGGAGACGTTATCTGCCACAGAGGATACCTCGGAGGAAAATAATCAAATGGACCAGTCAGACCAGCCGTCTCCACTAGATAAGGATTTGAGCCGTGAAGATAGGGAACCTAGTGAGAATATTGACCCTGTCAGTAGCAGTAGCAGCAGCAGCAGCAGTAGCAGCAACAGTGAAGAAAGCAGTGAAAGTGGTGAGCCAGAGACGGCTTCTTCCAGCAAATCTCCTGAAACTCCATCGGAGAATGCAATGGAGAATAGTACTGAAGCTACAGAAACTGCAGAAGAACCTATGGAACAAGACTAACTGCAGGAATGTTTATGGTGCAGTATTTTCCACGAGGCTCTGATTTTACACTGTAAAAAAAATTATGTAATAAAACGGACCTTTAGTTTCCCAGGAAAAAACTGGTTCTCCAACACGTCTCAAAAGGAGTAAACCCTGAAAGAGTTGCACATCTTTAGAACTGTGAATGCCAGCTCCTTCAGGCCAGACTGACCGCTGACTTTTTAGTTTGGTCAAATCAGTGGTTTGTGTATAGATTTTTATTTGGAATTAAAAGTTTTTAAACTGGAAGGTTATAATTTTGACTTTTTTGAGCTCATTACATTTAGTCATACGGTCTTGTCTGTTTATTTTTTTCTCAGTTTTGCAGGTTTTTCAAACTTGGGTCATTGTTTCAACATTTACCAAATGTAGGTTTCCCCTTGGATTTCAGATTCATTTCTCATTTGTGAAATACTTAAAAAGAGTTTGAGTGGTGCATTTCACATCATGTTCCGATGTATTTTTTTCTGTGTGCTAGTTAAGGAGTTCTTTTGTATGACAAACAAGCCAAGGTTCCAGGTATATCTCAGTCTCACGAAGGTCTGGCCGATACAGTCCCCTGGACATTTTAACCTGTGAAAGGCCAGGATGTGGAGAAAAAAAAACATTCCAGGAACACTTGTCAATCTGGACACTGTTTTGTATTATAATTGGAGGTGCCCATATCAGTAAGTTTCAAATAACATGAGGAGAGCAGTTTTGTCCTTACAAGTTTGAAGCTTGGCTGATTTTAAAAGGTGTTCGACTGAAGCTTTGGTTGTAGAGTGAATGCTTTTTTCCTAGCTGACATTTGCATCCATTAGAGGGTCTACAAACTAGTTTTCCACATTGTGAGTATGTCCACTGTAGGTTCCTTTCAGAGTTTTGTTTTTGTTAAGGTCGTTATTGCAAAGACACTGCTAACTATTGGAAGAGCAATCTAACTTTACCTTGTATAAGAGTCTAATACAAGAAATATAATTTTAGGGTGCATTGAACCACCATAATTTATATAAAACTTTTCAACGGAATGAACTATTTTTTGAACATACTACTTTGACAGCCAGTGGTTGTTGAATATCTGAAAACCAGCTCAAAGCACAAGAACTGCTTATAGTCCAAATATTTTCAACATACAGCCACATTGAATACCAAGTCATTTCGCATACAGATCTCCATTACAATGACTGGCTGCCAAATTTGTACCTGTTTCTGCAACTGTACTTTTTTGATATTTAGAATTTTTAAATTTCTGTAAAGTAGATTTTGTAGATTGTAATAAGTGTTCACTGCCTTTGTGAAACAGTATATAATTGTATGATTTCTGTGTAAACTGAATGCTTGGGCTTTCAATACAGTATTCATATAAAGCAATAAATGTTAATGTTATAAATGTGGGTATGCTTTATTTGTATCAGTTACAGACTTTTATTTTACTTGAACTTTTGGCAGCAATAAAAGCTTTTGAATATTTAAGCTTCTCTGTCTACTAGTAAGTTATAAGTATACCTGATTAAAGACTTTTTCATAGTACTGAATAACTTAATAGTAATTAAGTTATCAGATCTATTTAAATGAAAGTATGATTAGAAGACAATTTACAACTTGGAGTAGCTATTTCCTATATTCATACTGCCAAATTGTTTGGAAGACCACTAAACACAATTTCGTATAGTTTTCAGATGCCACCATAGCATCAAATGCATTTGAAATGTTTAGCATACATTCTGTACATACTGTAAGTGGTTTATAGTCTTCATTTAACACCTAAGGTGTGGATGTCTCAGCCAAATGCTGTTCATAATTTTTTTGGATTAAGTTGCACAGAGATTCACACAGTTACTCTATAGACATACTTGCTTATTAGGTGGGTTTTGAAGGTTTATTTAAGTTGGCAATTTTACTGTGATACAATTCCATAAAAAAACTCAAAAAGACTCAAAAAGGGAATTAATCTGAATGTTTTCAGGTCCTGTAGTTGATGCACTTAATTGAATAGAAACAAACTGCGGGGGATTTATGGTAGTGTACTTAAGGTCAGTAGACAATATTCGGTTCCTATTGGTTTAATATATTTTGAAATTTGCTTAAGGTCTCTAGGGAAATAAAGCACAATTTTTCTGAATCTTGGCAATAGAGAGAGTCCCAAGGAGCCATTCAACTGTAGTCTTTGAATGCCTGTCTCTTAGGAAATAATGGAGGCTCAAATGGGGAATTGGCTAACAGTTAAAACAAAATGAGCAGTAATTTGATATGGTCACATAAAAGCCAGCAATTATTGAGTTTTAAGATGTTGACTAGGTGTGAATAGAGACTGAAAACGGCTGATATGGGTTATTGTTAATTAACTATAGTTCTTTAAAAGTGCTCAAGATCAAATAGATGTTTGAATTGTCTTCACAGTAGTTATCTATAGAAAATTGTATATCATAAATATAAATCGAAAACCTTTTCAAATTGATGGCTGGAACATACATTTCTGAGATCAGAGTTGGTGATTGTTGAGGTATAGCTTTATGAGATGTTCTCTTAAAATTAGATATAAAGTTAAAACTTGCTCCATTAGAGGAACTACCAATTAGTTTTCCACATTGAGTAATGTAGGTTCCACTCAGACATATTTGTACAGGTCTTTAGTATGAAAACAGCTAACTATTGGAAGAGGAGTCTAACCTTAATTTTACCTTACATACGAATCTAATACGAAAAACATTATTTCAGGGTGGATTCAACCATTATTTTTACATAAACCTTTTCAACTGATCTGAGCATCCTTAGTTGTTACTATACACTGCTGTGATCCATTAAATATGAAAAGAATTCAGAGCCTGAAGATGGTCTGCTATACCATTATTTTAGAAAACAATTTAATTAAATTATCCAGTATTTTATTTGTTTAAAAAAGCATGATCCATCGTAGTCTACAGATTTAGAAATAGTTTATATAATAATATTAATTTTTCTCCATAACAGTATTTAGCATACAACTTGAGCAGTGTGCCGAAGCATATTTTCCAACACTTTTATGATAGAAAACCAGATGGCAGTTCTTTAATATTAGACTTTAGTTATCTTACCCCTTGGGAACTCCTTGATTCATTACACACAGATAAAGAGGTTGAAGCTGAGGTAATATACAAGGCTATTCAGGTTTCTCACTAACTATGTTCTTCATAAGGAATCCATTTCTGCAACATCCATTAAAAATCACTCAGAGGCTACAGCGACCCTTAAACTCATTATACAGAAAAGGCAGTCTTATCAAAATACATTCTGTACATCAGTGACTTGAGTTGATCAGTGGAGCACCTTGGAACAGCAGTTTGGTTTTTAAGATTTCATTAACAATAGATAACATTATATATCCAGTATTTAAAATAGTAAATGATTAAAGGGTAGACAGAATTTTAAAATCGTTCCTTTAGTTTGTCACTAGCTCTAATTTCATGTTAAAACTAGCACTTTATTTAAGAAGTGTTTACATCACCAATTACAATTTTGTCACATCATTGTGATTACTTACAGTATTTACCTTTGTCCTTTTGTTTGACCTGTATATTCCATATTCTTTGGTTGGAAGTAATGCAATCGCAGTATAATATTTTCTGGAATATATTTTCTTGAACTTGTAGATGCAGGTGTTACCTGGTTAAATTCACTTATGCTTTTTCAAGAATTCTACATCATCATTGGTGCTAATCTTTTTTAGGTTAACTTGCTGTTCTGAAAACAAATATTTACAGCCAACAGATCATCACCAGATCACCAAATTTCTTCAGGGGGCTACAAACTGCTTCAATTATTATATTAAGTGAATAATGTAGGCATATCATACTCAGTTCCTAGTTTCTTGGTTTTTATTTCACACAACCTCTGTTATAAATCTGTTATATTTAATTGGCCTAATAAATTAATTAACCTAGCTAAGTGTTTTATAGGTAACTGTACTTCTAATAAAGTGAAATATTTCAGTTTTTAACTGTAAACGAAATTAAGAAAAACCCTGTTTGTCTGATTAGGAAAAACATTAGATTAACTGTTTAATTGACCTCTCAGGTTGGAATAAAAATAAGAAGACACTCAAGGAATAGAGTTTGACACCCCTGGAATAAATTGAATCATCAACTCAATAATTTGACCTTTGTTCAATATATAGTGGCTGTAAGGCAAATAATTCACACATTAAAGACGGTAGTCTTGGGTTTAGCTTTGGGCGGTTTAGCTTAGGCTTCTGTAACATATCAGTGATGTATAGCCAGCAAGGTAGCAAAAATCATATCAATGAAATATGAAAAGACAATATAATGAATGACAATGCAAAGGCAGCATTACTCTACAGATTTTTAGGCCTTTCTGAAGACTTGTCCTCAATATTGTATAAAAAATGTGTAATTAATTTTTCTTTGCTCAAGTCTTCACTGCAAAGCTGAACATGCAGTAACATATAGTTTACTTTGCACAGTTGCACCGCATAATGAATTGAGCTAATTACATGTGAACTGAGTTTTAGATAAATTAAATCTTTGGTGGAATTTGACATTGTCAAGCTTTCAATGATTATGCATTACTAGAAGTAGATAATTCGAGTCATAGAGGTAATACACAACCTATCATTAAGCCGTGTCTCAGAGGTTACACTTGGCATTATCTTCTTAAATTTCAGGTTGAAGATGATCCACTACTGTGAGAAATAAAGCTATATGTGGCTTGTATTCAGGGAAGACTGAATAGCATATTCAGTACCTCTGTGATGTATGAAGTGAAGTTTAATCACAGTGTTCATCAGAAAAATCCCCTAAATCATGGTTTGAATAGCCAATGAAGGCAGAAACTTGATGTATTATACTCTTTTGAAGTGATAAAAATGTTGCTAAAAAAAGATGTAATTGCCATGCTTTTAGAAAGAATATAGCTTTTTTCTTGTTAATCAGGGATTATGGCAATGTGATCACAGCTCTTTGATGACATTAATTTTATCATATTCAAATGACTACTTTAAAAAAAATATCAGTTAACAAGACAAATCTAGATAAATCTCAGCGCTTTAAGAACTCATGCTAAGAATGTAATATGATTTGGAGGAAAGGGTGGTTTTAAATGTTGTTAAATGAACTGTTACTTCATCCTGTGAGTGAAATATTCTGCATGGAGTTTGGTGTTGGATGCAAAATATATATTTTGCATAAAACAATTGAACTGACAGATCTGAATCTTAAATAATGAAATGTTCAGTGACAGATAACTTATTTAACTGTTGCACTCTTTGGCAAATAAACTCAAGAAATTAGTTTCACCTTAAAATATGAATCAGCTCCTCAAATTAGCTTTGAAGTTCTTACTGGTGAATTGTATAGCTATTTGTTTCCACTTTCTATACAACCTGATGATGACATAGATGTGGTAGTTATACATGCAAATGTCCCTTTGACCTTTATTGTAGTCAAAGCAATAATGGATCAATTGACACATATTTATTACTTATTCTTCCAATTTTATATTATTTTAAAATATGTTTGCAATCTAATGCTGTTCATTTTGTAAAATGTTAGTGATCACATCACAGAAAAGATAAACTGTAAAATTTACTCTTTTATATATATATTACAGCGTAGAATTGTGCTATGCTGCACAGTATAGAGGTAGACTCATTCTTAGCCACTTATTGTTACCGTGAACATTAGAGACCGCCTAGTCAGAATATATGTATCTTTGTTACATTCACTCCTTGGGAATAAATGCTATGGTTAAATTTGCAAGGATTTATTTAGGACCTTGTTTTTGGAAACTGTTTTAACAAACGGGAAAAAAACCCGTATTGTTGGCGGTAGAGAAATCTGCAACATCTTATGTTACAGTTTCATTTACATTTTTCGAATACTGGGTGAGGAGAAAATGTTTTGGTGATATTGACAATAAATACACTACATTGTATGGTCCAGTCCTCGTTACCCGGAAAGAATGGAAATTTGAAAAGAGCAGCTGTACGTTGCAGTTTCTCTACTGCCCAATAGAGAGCACTGTTTAGTTTTCCAACAAATATTAACAGCCTTTCGAAATGAAGATGCAAGACGTCTGCCTGCGCTTGTTGATAAGAACTGAAATGAATTGTGCCGTATTTTACACTTTGGTGCTCCCTGAAGAGAATTTACATGGTACTGGACAAAATTTAATCATAAAGCTGAATTCCAAAATATGTTTTTATGCCTTGGTAAAATGCATAAAGAGTTAATATTTTATACCATTGACTTTGTTAGGCGGGCTGATCTGGTGCAACGAATTTAACTAGAAATTCCAATTAACTTAATTTCTAATGTATTTAGTGGCTGCAGGTAAACTCTTCTCTGATTAATTTATTGTGCATGGTACAATATATAATGCTGTCTCTTAATTAAATAAC